CTACCGAACGATTAAATAATTTTTTTAAAGCATTCTAAGACCGACAAGTCTTATCAATAACGTCACGGGGTCACTGGAAAAGCGTACAGGGTAAACTGATTACATTGTGAATGAAATGTAAAACCCTGGATAATCATCCACAGACCGACTGATGCTTGAGTTAAGGCCACGATTGTGAGTCATAGAACACCGTATCACATGCTTCATCTGTATAGTTTTCAATAAAACAAATTAGCATGATGCAGTTAGTTGGCCATTGATATCGGGTTCTGTTACGCTCGTGATTTGGCAATGGAAATGGTCTCTGAAAGCGATAGTGCTCTAATGAAATTAACCTTCCAAATTGTCCACGCTTCGCTGGTGCTCTCTTGTCTAAAGGTATAGTGAAAATGTGATATGATAGCTTTAATATAAAAGTATATGTCTTAATCCCATCAACGTAATCGGGATAAATCAGCTTATGTTGTGATAGAAGTAAGTATATTTCAGTCATATTAAGTTGTTCTATGCCCCTTAGTAGATATGATCTATCAGTCAAACAAATGTATGTTTAAAACTTCCCACTAGCCCAATATACCCTTTTTAAGGCTAATCAACTGAGTACTGTGCAGGTACTGCAAATTGCTGAATACAATCTTGAATTATGCATATAAATACAAATGAAAGTAAAACTCGCATTGAAGCTGGCGCTTTGAATAAAAGCGGCAATGACATCATTTTGTTTTGTAGTCTGGAAGCGATTCGTTAAAGGCACAAATTTCGAATAAATAATACAACAAAACCGCATGGGACCGTGCGGCATGCAGCGGGCAGAGGATCTGGGTGTTAAACCCGAGACTCTTTAAGCGTTGGCGGCGCATCTTCAGTTGACTTATCTCCCTCACTCAAAAGAGCAAATTATGCAATTTTCAATGGAATCATTTTCGATGGCCAACGATGCGAGCGCTTCTAATTAATTCATAAAGTTGATTCACGACCACAATTGTGTGGTTGCTAAAACTATTAGACAGAGATACGTGAGACCCAACCCTAATGCTGTGCTTTAAGATAATCCGAGAATTCTGGGAATTTCAAATATATGTATACAGACATATGTGTTACTTACCAATGTTAACGATTTTGATACCCTCATCCTGAAGGAATTTCAGGGCCACCGAGACGTTTTCCAGTTTCTGGCTGCGGAATGTTGGGCGTTTGTTGTACTTGGGCATACGCTTCTGGGACAGCACCTCGATCAGAGCGATCAGTCGGAGGCCATCGGACAGATCCGTCTCCAGGTTGTTGATCGACCGATCGATCGTCTTCAGATGCTCATTGGCCCATCGGGTGAAGGTGTTCTGTTGGATCTTCTTCCACTGCGCATCCTCGGCTAGATCGCGTTCAGCCTCCATGTCCTCGTCGAAATTCTCCTCGTACTGTTCCGCCTGCTGGCCCTCCTGTCGGGATTGATAGTAGTCGTTCGTCTGTGGGTTAACAATTACGCAGAGATCAAGTTAGCCGGTTGGTTTACATATGGTTTAGATGGGTGTGTCCCGGTATATGAGTGTCTTAATGTCGGTGTGTGTGTGGGATGTCGTTACTTCGAAAATCACTTAGCAACTATGCAAAAAACGATCTCCATCAAAAACCGTCAACTCCATACTCCTGGTGCAAAAGAGCAAATTGATTCGAATGGCTACGGGATCCGATCAGATCACACAAGGTGTGGCGTAGGCCAAGACTTGTTCCAGTTTCGTATGGGCTAGCCAAGCAGAACTTCAGTGTCGTATCGGTGGAGTGGAGTGGACTGTCCACTTTCCACACATGTCCCATAGCCAAGTGGCAGTCAAGAAGAATCAATGAAATATCAAGTGCAGGCGACATTTGAATACGCTTTTTAGGCGAAGAATGATTAAATTATTTGGCTTTTATTTAAAACTTTCAAAACTCTAAGGTTTAAAAAATAAACTTTACATATTTTGATTACCTAAAATCAAGTTTCTTTAAAGCTTAATGAAAACAAAATCTATGAATTTTGACTTTTTTTTAACTTTAAAGATTAAATTGGTTTAATTTTATTAAGATTCCGTTTTTAATTAATGGCCAAGTAATATCGAAAATATGTAAATGAATTTTTTAGCGGTTCAAGTTGAAAAACTCCGTATTTTTTCAAACATGTGAGTCGGCCTTATCTTTTAACCGGCGAAACAAGTTCCCAGGTAACTCCGCCTAATTCATTGTTTACCAACTTGCCCGAAAAGTTCCCGAAAAGGGTATACAGACAGAAATGCCCGCGAAAGAGGAGCACAAAGCGGAGTGATCAGAAGACGACGGACAAGGGAGTAAAACGGAGTTCGCGTGCCACACACAAACACAAAAGCACAGAGCAACAACAAAAACCGTAGACGTCCCAAAAAAACCAACAGAAATATAGAAATAGAGCCCCCTCAGCCCTCCCTCTATCAATCGTCTGGGCCTGGCCAGCATGGGAATATGGCCAGGAAAAGAAATTGGTGCGGAGTGCTCGAGTGCGCAGCGTGTGAAGTTCATTAACATTTTCATTAATTGCGAAATGCCGCGACAAAACGCAACGTGAACTGCAGCAATTAAAAAAGGGCTTGAGTAAACTACAGTACAAATTTATGAAGGTAAAATTTTACTAATATTAAAACAAAATCTCTAAAAGCATATTAAGTGCAAACCATAAAAAGGTGGTTATTATTATTTAAAAACAAGTTTGTGGCTTCAAAATTTGAGTTTAATTAGAGAATTTTATAACTTGAAATTAAATAAATTTATAGAGAACCAAAGTTGTTATTCCTTATTTATATTTTAAAAATTAAATATTATTACTATTGCTTTACTAATATAATGGAGAAATATAAGACAATAAACTGTAAGTCCTTACAAACAAATTAAATACTCTTCAAACTACACTTTTCCTTTAACCCTGAAATTTACTTTTTGTTAGATCTTTAAAATAAACTTCTTTGAAGTTATTAGGAAAAATATACAATTTCTCGCTAAATTAAATTCTACTTAATATTGATTTTTTTTTCTAAGAAGTTCAACTTAGTGAAGTTGGCCTATAGCTCACGCACACTCCTTCAGTCCCTTTACACACTCACACACACCTGTTGATGGCAAACGTCGTAGTATGCGGCTGGCTGTTGGGCGTAGAAATTTAAGTTGCTAAAATTCTGCTCCAAATTGTTGCTGCTGTTGATATTATTGTTGGTTGTATAAACACACGCGTTTTGCTGATTTTGATGCGAATTTGGCGGGTTCTTTCTGCCGTGACTATTGTTATTGCTGTTGTAGTGGTTATTGTTGTTGCTGAGGAATATGGTCGCCTGCGTCGTTTGACCGTTTGTATAATTCGCGTTTTGCACCAATTCACCGCCGTGCGTTATATTTGTCGATTTGCCGGGACCGTCAGCGTTGTTACTCTTGCGCGTACCACCGTTAAATAAATTTTTATTTTGTCGACATTCGCCGGCATTCGCATTTGCTATCGCCCTCTCTGTCTCAGCCATCTCTCTGGCTCGCTCTCTCTCTCGATCGCTGTACATTATGCGGCCGGTTTGTTGTTGTTCAGCTGCTCTCTCTCAATCTCTCTGCTTGTTTGTCTCTCTTTTTGGCTCTCTGGCTTAGTTTTTGTTTTTTTTTTGTGTTCAGCTGTCAAGTTTGTTTACCGCTCTCTCGCGCTTACAATGTTTGGCGCTCTCTGAGCACGAAGTTCATGCGTAGAAGAAAACCCGTTTTTTGTTAATACATTCAACATGAGATTTAAGTTCAGTGGGAGAACGTAAAGTTAAATATTGTTTTTAAATTATTAAGTACTTTATGAGATTTTTCGTTGAGCCCCAAAGTATGCACTAAGCTTTGAACGACGCTTAAGAAATACTAACGCTTTTTCTAAGAGTGGTAAGCCAAAAAAGCTTTTTTACTTTTAACTATTTTTTATGACAAAAAAATTCGTCCCAATGATTTTTAAATATATTTCTTTATCAGATATCAAATATAAGTCATGGAGTTTATAGATAAACTTTATTAGTCGTTTATATGGGTTTTTTAACAAAACAAACATACATTTTAAGATCTCCAAAAAAGTACGAGTATTAGTCTAAGAACCCTTCCATGAAACTAACAATTGCAATAAAATTAAAAGTAACTCTTAAAAACGTTATTCATCAGTATTATGATGATGTGCATTTTAAAAAAATACAATGACTAATAAACGTGTCATCGAATCGCACGATTAATTTAACCCGTTTGCTATTTGATAACAAACAAAAAAAAACTTGTTTTTATCAAGAAAAAATAAGAAAAGTATGACATTGAAACAAATATGTGACCAAGCCCTCAAAATCTTCAGATCCCGACCCTTTTTTAAAAACAGAAAACCAAAACGGAATGCAAGCAAAAGAAATGATTCACAAGCCGGGGAAGAGCAAATAATTCTGGTAAATATTTGGCATATTTGTGGATTGCTTTTGGCAATGCCTTTTTAATTCCACTCCCCCTTTTTTCCGCCTGATCAAATGCAAAAACGAAAGGCAGACACAAATGCACGCCGACGGCCAGACAAGTGAATGAGCCAAGCAAATGTGGCTGACAATCAGCGACCTTCTCGATATGGTTAGGAATCGTTAATTTTAGCCAAATGAGTCAAAGTCAAAACGAGTAGCTCTATGTGAATACGATGATCGATGGCAGATCGATGCCCGGTGAGTGGGTAATGCTTATTTTTTCGACAAACAAAATCCTCGAAATTCCCCAAGGGAGCTCTCAAGATCCTTCCCTATATGGGCTTAATATTCCAAACTCGATTTAATTAACGCATTGCTCTAAATATAGAACTAACACGTTTCTAGGCAAACAGCGGAACAAACTTTTCCATGACTCTAGAGACCATATAATATGTTCTCTATTATTTGCTTAATTCTTTTTTATTTATTCTTGCGATTTTGTTAGCAGAAATCTCTTGCATTTGTATCAATATTTGACTTGCCAAAAATATTAGGTATAAAACTGAGCAATTTTGTTACCAAATTATCACTTTCCATTCAGAGATACCAATATGAAGTTCTTTGCCATCCTTTTCCTTCTGTGCGCTATTGCAGGATTTGCGTCCGCATCCACCTTTGCGGAATCTGATTATGATGAAACTACTACTACCACTACCACCTCTGCTCCTACCACAGCAGCTCCTCCGGCTCAACCTCCATGTGGAAGCGGACCTCAAGGACCCTGCGGACAAGTTCCTCCCCCACTGCCACCTTGTGCGGCCGGTGCTGGTGGCCCTTGCGCCAAGAAGCTTTACTTTTTCTACTAAATAAATTCTGAAATTTTTACCGAAAAATAAAATATTGAAAACAAATCTTAAGCTTGTCAAGTTTTTAGAAATCAAGGAAATAACACGGTGGTCACTGTCTTTATAAAGTTGCACTTCAAATTATCAAATACTTAAAAAATACATTAAACTAATATAATTTAAGGAATACTAAGTTGTTAATCGATTGCTAATACTTGTATTATATTTTATATAAATTATATATAAAATGTGTTACTCAATTTTACGAGTCTAAAAATACAAGCAAGTATTTTGCACCCTTACTGAGGACAAACAAATATAGTTTTTGCAAAGCAACTAGACTATTTGTTCAAGTGTTTAATTTTTGTTTAATTTGTTGGATTCTAAATCAATGTTTAGGCATCTGAGTCAATAAATCTCATGGGTAAAAATGTATAAAAGTCTAAAATTGACTAACATATACTATCAGTTTTCTTAGGAAGTTACCAATATGAAGTTCTTCGCTATTATTTTCGTTCTGTGCGCCATAGCAGGAATTGGGGGCGCAACAACAACCACAACACCCACAGGAACAGCCACAACATCTATGGACGGGGACTATGACTCTTCAACTACCTCTACCTCTGCACCTACCTCTGCCACTACAGCAGCTCCTCCAGCACAACCTCCATGTGGAAGCGGACCCCAAGGACCCTGCGGACAAGCCCCTCCCCTATTGCCACCTTGTGTGGCCGGAGCTGGTAGCCCTTGCGGCAAGAAACTTTACTTTTTCTACTAAATGAATTTTGCAATCTTTTTGTATGAAAAAGCTGATCATGTTTTAAGCTGCTTTCATTAAATTAGAAATTTATATAAAACAAAAAGTTTTCGGAGTACAACCTTCCAAAAATCATATATATTTATAAAGTTTTTAAAGTTTTTATTTTTAAAATATTTAAATATTCAAATGTTTATTATGTATCGGTGTAGTAAAAATGAAGCTTAACAAATCAGAAGAGACAGTTAAAAAGCTATTGTTTTTATTTGATTAGGTGTTTCTTTGCTTCGCCTTAGTTTTTAACAGAGTAAATTAAAGTTATATATTAACCAATACACGTTTTTCAATATAATGGACAAAATTGTTTCTTAAATTTACCCCTACAAATAAATATTTCGCACGTGTAATGAGACAAATAAATAAAGCTTTTATAAAATAACTAGACTATTTGCTCAACTGTTTAATTTACTTTATTCTTTCTAAGCAAAAGTTTAAAAGTTTGGGCATTTGTGTCAATAAAACTTGCAGTAAAAATATATAAAAGGGTGAAACTTAACGAAAATAACTATCAGTTTCCATAGAAAATTAACAAAATGAAGTTCTTTGCTATCCTCATGATTGTGTGTGCCTTGGCTGTGGCTGCCTTTGCCACCTCCACAACATCGACAACCACAACAACAACTGAATCTGCAACAACTGGAAAACCCCCATGCGGAGGAAGTGGACCTTGCGGACAAAAATTGTATTTCTTCTATAAATAAATAATTTTTTTGAATGAAGTAATAAATATTTTGGATTAAAATGAAAAAATTTCTTAAATTTAATCCTTTGGATTTAGTTAGATAGCCCAGCCGTAGGAGTTTTGGAAACCCCATCCTTCATCACATTCCTCAAGGGAGTACTACTTTGGATTCCTGACCATATAGAGTAAGTTCATCTAGCCTGAGTATACCCTTTTATGGAAATAAATGTTTTTCGTATCGGTCCAAAAACGGCGACTACGTGAGGCGCCACTTGGCTCGTTGGGGGGGAAAATCGCATGAATCAGCGTCGCCGAGCGCCGCCAATGAAATGCTAAATAAATTTTCACTTCCATTTTAATTAATTTGAATTTATTTGAAACTAAAATTACACCCAACATTTACACGCCGAAGGCGCAAGTGAGCGAAATTGGCCCGCTTGTTTGACTAAAAATAAATTGACAAATATTTTGTTTTTATGAAAAGGTAATGAAAACCACATGTCCTCCATTTTCGTCGTAAATATAACGTAAATATAAAAACCAGCAAAATGGAAAATCGTGTATGTGGGTGAAATGCAACGATCGCCGTTGATCAGATAAGGGTTCAGGTTCATATCAGATGCATCATTACATCCAAACTCACTTTTCGGGACGCCATATCGATGGGTTTAGCTGTTGAATGATCTCAAGTCTTAATACTTCAGTGGGTGCTTAATACTGATCACTTGATTGCCCGCTAATTACACAATTTTTTATGTGCCAGGCACGTTTATTCTTTTCTCTTTAAAACACAACACAAACAAACGTGGAGGAGCCCTTCTTTTTCGTAAACAAATTTCAGAATTTTGAAAATATATACACGAACTGAGCGCGCTGCTTTCGATTCCTTTGGTACTCGTATTCGTACTGGCCGCGACAATTTCTCAACTCGACTGAGTTGGGTGCGCCTCCTTGCTCTAAGTTTTTATGCAGCCAAATGCTCGCCGCTTATTTCTCAATTTCTTTATTATTATATTCTCAGATAAATCATACAGCCTAGGATGGTTAGATAGTGGAGATGATGATCTGCTTAAAAAACTCCGTTTTGGTGTTTGAAAGAAAAGTCTTTCAGTTGTTATATCTCTTATTTTTTTTTTATAATTATAATGACTTATGGGTTTTGTTCATAACCTTATGGTGACATAGTATATGAAATTCTTATACTTGTCATATTTTTATGAATCACTTAGAAGCCTTTCCCAAGCCAAAACACACAACGATAAATACTTAAAATTTTTTGAATGTGTCACATTTTAGAATATTATTGTGGTTTAAAAACTTTTACATTCTACACTCACAAAAATGTTTATAAATTTCATAACTCCTTTCCAATTTCATTTCTAACAAGACTCTAACCAACCATCCTCGACTGTGCAACGTCTTCAATACATAATTTGTTCAATATTTATTTTGCTTTATGTTTTGTGTTGTGTTTTTGGTATTGCATGTGACGTTGACTTGACGTCGACGTCGACTGCACTCTTGACTCTGTTTGGCAGGTTTTTGGCGACGCCACTATAAGGTCCCCCGATCCCCAACCCACCAAATCTTTTCCCCCTCCCTCTCTACTCATCGCAAATGTGATTTTCGACGCGCAGCTGATTTTGTTGTTATTCTATTCATAGAACTGGTTGTGGTCTTTTGTGTTTTAAATTTATTTTTTTTAGTTTTTCAGTTTTCTCTGTTGCTGGCCACAATTGAAAGTGGCTCCTGCGAAAATGATTCGCTTGTGGCCATCACTGGCGGTCGCCCCAAGTACATTCCGCATTCCGTGTTCCCCCGCCAGTTGACTCACGAGTCGCGAATAAAATATGTTTAATCGGCGAAGATAGGCGAACGCATAAAACTCTTAAATCAAAAGCATATGTATGTAGATACTAGATACTAGTGCCGGTTGTTTAGTCTTAGAAGAGATGACTAACTTGCTCTGCCCAAAATCAGCTGTCATAAATTCCTTGATTTTATTTAGCTGAGGTCGGAAAACTCTCTAAGTTTATGTATGTTTCTAGATAAAACTCAGCAAGAGACCGATAAATATATCGTAAATTTTGTTTTGATTACGTGATTTAACAGCTCTGATACGGCCATAAAATATAGCTTAATTCAGGCAATTGGCAGTGATCTTTTTTCTTTATGTTAAAAACATTCTTTAAATCTATATGGGCAGATAATCAGAAATTAAAAAATGTTCCAAAAAACCCATAAAAGCATTTCCGTTATAATCATACATTCTTAGAACTTTGAAGTCTGAAGTTACTGAATAACAATAAAAAACCATGATAGGGGCTTGTTTTGTTTTTAATGAGTAATGTTAAGATACTTGATGTTTACCCAATGGAAATGGTTTACAAAAATGTAAACTGCAAGAAGAGTATTTGATTAGGTATTTTCATAAATGCTAATAAAATAAGAAAATTATAAAGAATCAAAAGCATTTAGTAAATAATTTAAAATCCGCTGCCTCATCCAGAGAAACTCTCCCGAAAATTCCCCTAATTTAATTAACCAATTCATTTCGATGTAGATTTTAGACGCGTAGCGCGTGTGCTTTAAAACAAATTTTATTTGTATTGGTTATCATTATTCACGGTGTTTGAATTTATCCAACAGCTGCTTTGGCTGTTAATATTTTTTGTTGCGCATTCGCCCCGTTGCCGACAAGTAATTTCACGTGCCAGCGCTTTTTTTGCTTTCCCAATTCTCAGGCCTCGCTGCTTAGATACTTTTCTTTGAAAATGAATGGCATACAATTAACAATAGCTCTGCGGGATCCAAAGAGGAATAAAAAACAAAAATATGAGCATATTGGTTAAAGTTTGCAAAGCTGGTTTTATATTTTCAAAAATTTTTAGTAAATACTTAAATTTGGCAAAATAATTATCAAAATAAATATTTGTAGAAGTAATTCATCTTTTAATTATAATAGAGCAGATGTTTTATTAAACAATTCAAAGCAAACAATATGAATAGTATAAATTTGACGAATATATATCATCGATTTATTAGTTTGAAGTAAATTCTACAAAGATGAAGTTCCTAGCGATCATTGCTCTTGTGTGTGCCTTAGCAGGCATGGCCACCACATCTGATTGGAGCCAAGATTCGACTACTTCGTATCCTTACTGGACGGACACCACCACAGAAGCAGCAACTACTACTACTACGGCACCTGTACAACCACCCTGCGACGAGAAGATCCAAGGACCTTGCGGCAAACTACTAAAGGGTGCCCAGAAAATTTACTTCTTCTATTGAAATCACGCGAAATTTGTCAGAAAAACTTAATAAAATCATTTGGAAAAATCAAGTAGCCCGATTCCCGAAAATACCGCAGGTGCGCCGGAGCATACAATCGAGGCTAAATTAAGATCAGAGGCGGGGTTAACATCTGGCGCCCAACATATAAATGCACTTTACGTTCTCACAGCTGAACATTTAATGGTTCTTCTGCTGGGATCCAGCGAAAAAGAGACCTTTCATCGGCGAAATATATCACAAAATGGCAACGCCTTGTACGCAATATTTCAACCAGAAATTCACATAACATCAAATTTTTTCAGAATCTATTATATTTTTGCATATATATATTTATATTTATTAAAGATGTGTAGTTGTAGTTGTTGGCCGTACACTTTTGGCCGGATTATTCATCACTCTTTGTAGATATATCGTAAATATCTTTCACCGCGCATTTGCCTTTATTGGAGACAATATTTCACATACTTTGGCATTTTCACTTGTTTCTGAACAATTTCCACTCGATTGTGCACAAGTTGCGAAATTTCACTTTGCTATATATTTTTCGGGTATATATATAGAAAATATGAGCGACACACGCCTCTACATATAGATCACGGATTGCGTATACGCCGCGTATTCCAAAAGAAAATTCAAGACCCGCACCCGAACACGTCCAAGTCAATGCAGCAACTGAAAATCTTTTCGAAAATGCCAAGACACAGCCCACAACTGAGTGTTTTTCCTGCTTAATATTCTTTTTTTTTGTAGCTGAATGGTGAGCGGCAAACACAAAATATATTTTCAGAATTTCCATGCGCGGTGAGCGATTTGTGTCGAAAATTTTCTCAACAACTCAAAACATGACTAAGACCATAGCTGTCTGGGTCTACCTGTTTCAAATTAGATCAGGGCGACACGTGTGGCCAGTGCGACACTTCCCTGTCTCCGACATAAATCAGAAATCTGAATTCGGAAAACGGCGGGAGGATGAATCAGACCGTCAGACATTCCGGCTGTCTGTCTGCACAGCCTTCTGGCCGTTGGCCAAGATTTTCTTCTGCTTCCAGGAACATTCAAATTGTCCACATTTAATATTTACTAAAAGAAAGCAAATATCTTTAGTCAACTATTTAAGATAAGTCCTAGGATGTTTTATGGGATAAATACGCATCCGAATATTTTTATGTTTTTTTAGAATCTTTGGAAAGTTTGCCCGTATTGTAGACAAATGAGCAGCTATAACAAGAGATAAATACTAAATTTTATATAATAATAAGGCTCTTGTCATGAATGAAATGAAGACGAACCAAAATTTTAGGTTTTTAGCCATTTATTATCTGCTGATTGACCTGCGGGCACTTGCCATTGCCACTCATCGTTTGTCTTATCCAGTCGTAGTAGTACATGACATCCATAAACACATCCGGCACTCCCTGAGCACAGGGTACGAAAAAGTTTAGTACGCCCACCAGAGTACCCTGATGAACCAATGGACCTCCAGAGTCACCGTGACAGGCTCCAATGTTGGCCTGCCGATAGGCACAAATGTGGCAGGGACCCAGTTCCAGATCTTCGTAGACTACTAGCATGGATTTGCATGCCTGACTGCTGAGATGTTGCTGCTGAACGCGTTGCAATTGGGATGGTAAGCTTCCAGCCGCCGACTGGGATCCCCAGCCGGTGAAAACTAGATCGGAACTGCCTCGAGGAAAGGAGGTAGTTGGTAGCGCAACCGCCTGAGTTAAGGCATTAAAGCTGATACTCTCGTTTAAGAACAGCAGGCCAATATCATTCTGATACTTGGGAGTATCATAATTGCAGTGTAGATAAATGGCCTCCGGATAGTACACGGCTCCTGGTTGGGCATATCGAATTGTTCCAGTTGCCACTTGAAGTCTGCTGGCTGGATAACCTTTGACACAAAGACCCGCTGTGAGTATCCAACGATCCGAAATGATGGCGCCACCGCATAAGTGACTACCCAAAAGTGTTTGCAACGAGACCTGATAGGGGGCATCTCCTTCAGCGGCATTCTGCCCACCCACAATGAAGTGCTCCTCCGCCCAGAGGTAACCACAGAATAAACCAAAAAGGTAACTATAGAAAAGGAGGAACCGTACAAACGCCATGGCTGAAATGCAATCGCAGACTGAACTAGTCTGGTTTTACCCTCCGCGGTTTTGATTGAACTATCATAAAGCCAAAATGGCTGGCCAAAGGTTCCACCAATCGTGCCATAAACTGATTTTTATCTGATTACGATAAATGGTCAAGAAGGCAGACTGGGTCTTAGATTGGAGACATTCATTAGCTGACCAGGCTTGGAACCAAGATGTCGGCAGTGGGATTGATATCGATTTTAGTTTCACTTGCAGGATTCTCCTCCATCACAGCCATACGAGTAAAAGGGAACTCCTCAGAAGCAGGATTCTTTAAGGATCAACGAATTATTGGTGGCGAGGCGGCTGACGATGGCTTTGCTCCGTATCAGATATCCTTGCAAGGCATCTCTGGCGCCCATTCCTGTGGCGGAGCTATCATCTCTGAGAAATTCGTCCTGACAGCTGCTCATTGCGTGGAAAATGCCAATATCCAGTGGCTGGTAGTTGTCACAGGCACTAATCAGTATAACCGACCGGGAGGCAGATATTTTATAAAAACCATCCACATCCACTGCAACTACGACAACCCTGAGTTGCATAATGACATCGCCCTACTGGAACTAATTGAGCCGATTGTCTGGGACGAACGCACCCAGCCGATTCCTTTGCCATTGGTTCCCATGCAGCCGGGTGATGAGGTGATCCTTACTGGTTGGGGATCAACAGTTCTTTGGGGGCCAGTCCGATCGATCTGCAGGTACTGTATCTTCAATATGTCCCACATAGGGAGTGTAAGGCATTGTTGAGCAACGATGATGACTGCGATGTGGGCCACATTTGCACGTTTTCGCGTCAGGGAGAGGGTGCCTGTAATGGTGACTCTGGCGGACCACTGATCAGCAATGGTTACCTTGTCGGACTGGTCAACTGGGGATGGCCCTGCGCTACGGGAGTTCCGGTAAGTGATAAGGAACTATCTGATTATCTTCTTGAAACTTAACTTACTGGAAGTTATCTTAGAATAATAGAAAAAACCTTGGGGGCGAATTAATAAAACACTTTAGATAAAGAAATGCTACGGAAGACTTTTGCAGAATTCCCATTAAACTAGGAAACTGCATTTTTCATAAATTCATCAAAATGTTGATTATATTTTCAGGATGTCCATGCCAGTGTATTATTCTACCGGGATTGGATACGCAATATCATGAGTGGAAACTCGAAATGCACTGGCTTCGGCTCTTACCACGCCTAAAGGTTCCGGGTTCTGTGGCTATCATTGCCCATAAAAGAGCCCAGTTTATAAGGCCACGATAAAATAGCCCTCGATAAGACCGGACAAGTTAATAAAGTTTTGTTAGCCATCAAGTTGAGTTTTAGTGTTCAGTACTTGGCCAAACCTTCGAGATGCAGCTGCTCTACCTAAGCTCTCTGATTCTACTGCTCCTGCAGCCACCCAATCCCTGCGAGTCTAAGCGCTTGGTTGGACCCATTTCTAGGGGTCCATCGGGTAGGATTAAGGGTGGTCAGGAGGCTGAGATTGGATTTGCCCCGTATCAGGTTTCTCTGCAACCCATCGTGGGTTCCCATAACTGCGGTGGTGCCATCTTGAACGAGCAGTGGATCATAACCGCCGGTCACTGTGTGGAGAACTATATTCCGGCGCTGGTCAACGTGATTACGGGAACAAATAAATGGGCAGAGCCAGGAGCCGTATATTACACCGAGAGTATCCACATGCACTGTATGTACGATCAGCCCTATATGCATAACGACATCGCCCTGGTGAAGCTCACCCAGAACATTACCTTCAACGAGCTGACCCAACCCATTGCATTGCCTACAAGACCAGTTCATTCCGGCGATGAGATCGTCCTTACGGGTTGGGGTGCCGAGGAAGCGTACGGTAGCTCCGTGGAGAATCTGCAGAAGTTGACCCTGGGATTCGTTCCTTTCGAGGAGTGCTACGATATCTTCAACCAGACCAGCAGCATGGGTGTGGGTCACATCTGCACCTTTTCGCGGGAGGGCGAAGGTTCCTGTCACGGCGATTCCGGTGGTCCGCTGGTGAGCAATGGCAGTCTGGTGGGCGTGGTGAACTGGGGTCGACCGTGCGGGGTTGGATTTCCGGATGTTCAGGCAAATGTCTACTATTATCTGGACTGGATTCGCAGCAAGATCAGCGGCAACAGCTTGTGTTACTACTAATTTACTTACAAAACTAAAAAATTAGTTAGAAAAACTAAAAAAATTGCATTAAACAGAAGGAAATAAAGAAAAGCTTAATCTTATTATTAAAAGGGTTTTTGGAGAGGAGGTTCTTATTTTTTAACCAGTTATTATGTTCGAAATTAAGAAAAGAATAAATTATGTTATGATTCATAATGCCTGATTACCTAAATAGCAAAACAAACTTTTGATTCTTATTATTACACGGCGTTTGCCGCCTTTTGACTTTTATTTAAACAAATTAGTTAAAGTATTACCTTACCTAGGCGATTTTTTGTATCTAAGTTGATCGAGCAACTTAAACGTGTTCCTTTACCATCATTAATAGTTGCTGGCGTAGCAGTGGCAGGTGCTGCAAGGTCCCGAGATCATGCTTCTGATCCATTCCCGATAATAGTAAACGCTGGCGTGGCTATCGGGATATCCAAGGGCGCAGGGATAGCCCCAGTTAACTAGTCCGTAGAGCACTCCATTTGAGGTCAATGGACCACCGGAGTCGCCGTGACAAGCTCCCTGTCCACCGGACGTCAGAGTGCAGACATGGCAAGGCCCATTCAGGGGATCGTTGTCCATCATCTCCTGGCAAGTTGGGTAATCCACATGCGTGAGGTACGCCTTCTGCAGCACATCGGGGGTATCGCCCCACAGTTCCGTGGATCCCCAGCCCGTGAGCAGCAATTGCGTCCCATTGGCCAGCGGCGCAGAGGGCAGCTCTGCTGGTTGAGTGTACTCATTGAACTTTATCGTATCGTTCAGCCGAATCAGAGCGATATCATTGTAGTACGATGGACTGTTGTAGTTGCAGTGTACCCAATACTCCTCTACGAAATACATGGCATCCGGTTCGGCCCAACGAATCGTTCCTGTGGCCACTCGCAGGTAAGGGGGATTATATCCATAGACACAGTGGGCCGCCGTCAGGACATGTCGTTCATCGATAATACATCCACCGCATATGTGACCGCCGAACATTCCCTGCAGCGATATCTGGTACTTGGCCTCGCCCAACTCCGCATCCTCGCCATTAATTACACGATTTTGGAAGTTAACTCCTCCCGATTTCGTTATCCATTCCAATTGCTTCTCACTAAGTTGCGCCGATCGAATTGCAGAACTGGGATTATAGGCACTGCAGACCAGAAGGATCACAAGGATCTCCAAAAGACCCAGACGAACCATTATCGTGAGTGCTTGAGTTTCAATACGACAATTAAACCTGCATATGGGTCGTGATTTTGCTTTTATACTCGATCAAATCGGTTTTATATCGTAAGTCTTAAGGTTTTATCGTAAATCGGAAACGATGTTCCCAGCAAGTTGTATCTATGCCATAAAGTCTAGTATCGTAAAAAGATATAGACGCACACTGATTATGATTTTGTGACATGGCAATCAATGCCAGCGCCGTGATAGTATAAGAATAGGAACTAATGGACATTCCCTGGACATTGGCATTGGATATTATCCAAATCTAGGGCTGCAATCCTCTTTTTAAAGATTTTTAGATATTTGAAAATATATTTTATTAAAGGAAAGAAAAAAGGAAAAGCCTAGTGAAAGTATATTTCCAATTTATGATAAAGATTTAGATCGCCAATTACAGGTTTCTGTTACAAACAGTCCCATGTATTAAGTCCAACTCTCTTATGATAAAGTTGAGATACCTTAATATTCTTTAATATTTTATAGTTATTACTTAATTTGAATCATCTCTCCTAGAATGGCAGCACAAATCTTGTTAGGTCGCTCTACGCCATTTCGATCAACAGCAGTTAAGAGGACTTCAATCTTATAGCGACCAGGCTTAAGGGTAGCATCTAGGCCGAGTTTGATATCGAAATAAAATGTTTTCATTATAAGTACTGTCTGTAAGAACAACAATAATTTCATCATTATTATAGTAACCACTAATCAAACACTTACACCTGGAGTATTAACACATTTTTCCTTAATTTCCTCCACATTGATTACGTTTTTAAACCAAAAAGTGTATATATATTGCCTTTCATCGAAGATGTACTGACACATATTCTTTGGCGATAGATTTAGTATGGTCGGTACCCAAGATCCTCTTCGAAAATATTGAAGACTTATTCCACCCTAAAAAATAAACTAAAAATAACTTTGAATTTTCCTAAATTTTTGAATTTACTTGAATGATATCCGTTTTTTCGATTTGCCAGGAAGTGGTCAAATTCCCACTATGGCTTACTCCGTTTTCAGTCATAGTAAAAGTTGAATCGGAGAAATTGTTAAACAGGCCATTCATGTTTTGGGATCCTGGCGGGGGATTCGCGCAATCCGAAAATATCCTTTCGTCCTCCAAAAGGAACTCATATTCAAATTCCATTGAGTCATTGACAATACTTAAAAGGATTAGTATAGTTAGTAGTTGATAATTGGGCCGAACCATTTTGATGGTTGTAGTTCAAAGAGAGAAATTCCAAACTGCGGTTTCTACTAACATCATGAAACCTTTATAGCCATCAGTAGACCTTCTAACTTAAAGCGTAATAATATAATTATATATAATTAATTTATAAATTATATGAATTTTTAACACGGGCGCAGAAATAACCTGAATTAAAACTGATCTAAGATCGTTAAATTTGCTATGTTATTAAAATGGTGTATGATGGATTGATTTAATTAAGATGTAACAAAAGTTTGATAAAGTAAGCTAATGTTCCATTTCTCATTATATAAGTATTGGCAGAATGGAAAAAAGTGATTGTATTTTTATGATTAAATATTTTGTTCTGTGCTTGCTAGTTTTGGCTTTACATTTTATATTTAAATAGAATTCTTTTTCATAATTTCAGTTTAAACTAGTATTATTTAGCATTTAAAACATTTTCAGTTTAACATTTTTTCAGCTCTAGCATTACCAACCACTATCTCATGTCATAATATGTTAGCAAACAGATCCATAAAAGCATTGATTGCCCACCTAAAAGCAGGTAATGACCAAATGACTAAGTGGTATACGCGTTATCAGCGTTGTTTTGATCAATAAATATATTTCACATTCTCATGTCAATATACATCATTGTAATTCCGGTTAATCTCCATCTCCCTTGATCCCTTTCAGTTAACACGATTCTGGCATCCTGTGTGAGTCCTTCGGATCCAATCCTGATAGTAAACGGTGCTGGCATACCTGGAAGTAAAGTTTAAGGATTACTTCATGATAACCAAAAGAGTCCCTTAGCTTGATCTTACATATCCGGCATGCCCACAGCGCAGGCTCTTCCCCAGTTGACCAGACCCACCAGTTTGCCCTCCCACATCAGCGGGCCTCCAGAGTCCCCAGAGCAGGCTCCCTCGCCCTCTCGCGTAAATGTGCAGATATGACCAACATCGATGCCATTGTGGTAATCCCATCTCTCCCTGCACTCTTCGTGAGCTATGATGGTCAGGTTTATGGTCTGCAAATACTGCACCGTGGGAAAACTACTTTCCGGAGCACCCCATCCCGTCAAGGTGACAATGGAACCCGCCGGAGGATTCTCTGTGCTCAGCTCAACGATCTGAACTCGATCGTTGAAGATAATCGATTCGTTGACATGGATCAATGCTATGTCATTGTTGTAGACATAAGGAACGTCGTACATGCAATGGATCAGGGCCTTGTCCGGAAACAGAGTCTGACCAGGAACCAGGCGATCATTCGTGCCCACAATAATCCTTAAGTCCTCAATGCTAAAGTCCAGGGCACAATGACCTGCTGTTAGAATCCATTCTTTGTCGAGGATGACGCCACTGCAGATGTGTGTTCTCCAAGTGGTCTGAATGGATACCTGATAAGGTGCCACCCCGTCCTCTGCCTCCTGGCCACCCACAATACGATTGTCGGACAGTTTACGATCCAAGCGTTTGCCGCGCGTGACGTCAATGGAAGTGCCCAGCAGAAGAAGCCAAATCAAAGACAAACGGACAGCCATGATCAGAAAGTGACTCCGGAGACGAGGGACAATGCCGGACAGCGCGAATTAATGGCCAGCAATGGAAAATTGTATGACCCAACTGGGCGTTTTTATTTCGATTCCATATAAAACCAATTTTATCGCTTACCTAGGTTTTGCCCACTTGGGTTATTTTTTTTAGCGGCCAAACTGACCACTGGCTAGCACCGAATCTTTATGGTCATTGGTACCAGTCGGGTATCTTTACGGCTTTAAGGATAAAACCCAATCGGTAATGGCGGAACGTTCAAATTGGAGCCGTTGGTCAATAAACCGGTGGACTGTATGTGACACTGCAAATCTCGGCGCTCTATAAATGCACCGGGCAAACTTGCTGGTCAGCTCACAATGCCCATGGCCACAAGGCAATATGTATGCGAGTTATCGGCCCCTGTGTCCCATAAATTCCCTATTATCCAAAACTTGACCAAACATTGGCGATAAGATCGGCTATATGAAGTGTAATTTTAAGGTGCTACGTCGGTGGGGTTTCAGTTTCGATTGTACCGTGCATATACCAACGATGAGAAGTAGGTGGAACTTTACGGGACTACTGCTGGCCCTGATACTTCTCGCTCTTCAGGAGCTTCCCACGGAAGCCATGAGGATGCGTGGGGAACCGTATCCGGGTTTGGTCAATATCGATAGGCATCGATCAAGTGAAGCTGTACCCCAGGGTCGAGTGGTAGGTGGAACCACTGCCACCGAGGGCAGATGGCCCTGGATAGCGTCCATTCAGAATATCTACTCGTATCATTTGTGTGGAGGCGCGATCATCAACGAGCGCTTTGTGCTAACAGCGGCCAGTTGTTTGGCCGGGCTAAGAGCAAAAAACGTGCTGGTGGTCACTGGAACAACGGATTGGTGGGATCTATATGCTCCATATTATGCCGTGTCCAAAATCCATATCCATTGCAACTTCGACAAGCCGTTGTATCACAATGATATAGCCCTGTTGGAATTGTCCTCCGATATCGAGTACAATGATGTTACAACGAATGTTACTTTGGCGGATATTGATGAATTGCAGGAGGGTGAAAAGTTGACCTTTGCGGGATGGGGTAGCTCAGAGGCCATGGGCACATATGGTCGGTATCTGCAAGAGGCATCGGGAACTTATCTCCCGGTTGAGCCGTGCCGGGAGAAGCTGCAGAATGATGATGATGTAGATTTGGGTCATGCCTGCGTCCAAATGGACGTGGGTAAGGGCGTTTGTCACGGTGACACCGGCGGACCACTCATCGATGAGCAAGAACGCCTGGTGGGCATTGGAAATTGGGGTGTGCCGTGTGGACGTGGCTACCCGGTGAGTACTCCAACCATACCGTAGAGTTCTATATGTATTATTTATTACCCTCTTATTTCCACTAGGATGTGTATGCTCGTATCGCCTTCTACCACGATTGGATTCGTACCACCATAAATGGGTGTTCTATAGCCTAGACATTGGCCACCTCTTATCTGTACACTGAGAGAAAAATGATTTATTTGTTTTGCAATGGATTTTTATATAATATATCTTTTATCTGAAAATCAATGTTAAATATGATTTATTCATTAAACTGTGCGGGATCTTGGGTTTGAATTGATATCTTGGTCTTTCTTCTTTTAGGTGATAGGAAAATTCAATTTTTGGGTGTTAAGATGTAAATCTTATTATTTATTATTTTTATTATTATATCAAGGTTCTATTATATTATAGTTTACTATTTTAGAAAGCTGACTAACTAATTCTCTTAGTCCCTGCATTATTTGGGATCAGCTAATTGTTGTTTTTCAATAACCAAAAATCATGAAGGAGTTTATAGGCTTCAGTGTTTTCTTAATGGATTAATTCATTAAATTTTGGTAGTTAGTAATATTTAATATATTTTAATGTTGTTAAAACATAAATTAATCTACTGATTAGATATAAGATATGGCTACAAACTATTTGGAAATTAAGTTGAAAGTCATCCAAAGTTTATAAACATTGCAAATGTTTTTCTTTTTCTGTTTTTCCCCAAGTGTAGACATAGCCAGTACTCATGATTTTTGTTGCTGATTTAATAAATGTTATGGGATTTTTACGAGGGGAGAGTTCTTGGTTTTTGCTCAGGCTGACCATGATTGGAGATTGCACAACCTTTATGGCGGCTCATTAATATCACGCCTAGCTATCTAATATCGTATATTGAATATCGTTTATCGGAGGTTTCTTTCCAGCTGCACTCCTTTGCAATTAGTCCAACTTCAGCTGTTCGTCCAAGATGTCTTACCAAATCAGAACGGTCTCCTTGTTCGTCCTCGTCCTGCTGGCGATAACCTTTTCGCAGGCTATTGAACGTCAACGGGCTTTTACCTCCGACATACCCAGTTCCGCGGCTAAATTTAGCTCACGCATCGTTGGAGGTCAGGAGTCTGATGTCCTGGCGGCTCCCTATCAAGTTTCGCTACAGAACTCCTATGGGTAACTCAAGTTGATCTAAATCTACAAGATAGTGAAGGTTTTTCCAGGATATTCTGGAAATAATGTGAAAAATCTTTAAGGAATATAAGTTTATGGTTACTGAGAAGGAAATTGATGGGATTTCCAAATAGATTTTTACAAATATTAATATTTTGATTTTTACTAACTTGTATTAAAGATCTTGTATTACCATATCCTCATTACTCTTATAAAATAATTTAAATCATTTCAGCAACCACTTTTGCGGCGGTGTCATTGTCCACAACCAGTACGTGGTCACCGCAGCCAGTTGCGTTGCTGGATTGCGTACCAACAATGTGAAGGTGGTCACCACTACCTACAATAACTGGGGATCGGCAGGCTGGGAATACAGCGTAGAGCAAATCATCTCACACTGCAACTTTGATAAGCCGATGTATCACAACGACATTGCCCTGATCAAGACACATGCTCTGTTTGATTACGATGAAGTGACCCAGAATATCACAATTGCTCCATTGGAGGATTTGACGGAAGGTGAAAAGCTGACCATGTACGGATGGGGAAGCACAGAGATTTTGGGAGATTTCTCTTGGGAGTTGCGACAACTGGACTTGACCTATGTCCCTACGGAGAAGTGCAACGCCACCTATGGCGGTTCGGCAGATCTAGATCTGGGCCACCTTTGCGCCGTTGGAAGTGTGGGAGCCGGAGCCTGTCACGGTGATGCCGGGGGACCCCTTGTTGACAGTCGGGGACGCCTGGTGGGCGTTGGCAATTGGGGCGTGCCTTGCGGTTACGGATTCCCTGATGTCTTTGCTCGTTTGAGCTTCTACTACAGCTGGATTACATCGACGATCAATGGTTGTGCTATTTCTTAATAAGGTATTAGATATTGTAACATCCTTAAATTAAATACAGAAAGTGTACTTTTTAATCAATAAAATAGTATAAAATTTGTTCTCCGTTTTTATGTTTTATGTATTTTCCTAGAAATTATATTTATTTTATCTTGGTCCTTCCCTTAGATAAACCTTGAAATTGTGTCAGGGTCCAAAATCTAATTGATTAATTTGAAATCTTGATAATCCCCAAACCAGACGTCTACACGTTGTTGTAATTGTGAGTGATAAGTGGGTTTCATTGAAGTCATAAAAAGTAATTGCTTTTTCGCAAACAATATAACACCCTCCAAACATGGAATATTTTCTAGTTTCAACAAGCAAAAACCACAACTATAAGAGGTGGTATTTTTATCAAAACAAGTAGTGGTTTTAATTGGCTTTTTATCTAAAATATTTAAACAAAAACCCATTTAATTCTGTTTACAGAAGCCCTATCTATAACCTAAAATAGTTCCCTCGAACTTGTTTACCCTTAGGGTATGCCAAGTGCTGTATCTTTGAGAGGTCTTCAATCATTTTGCAATTATTCCATCTATATTTCGAGTAAACTTCCATTCGATTACGTTCCTATCAAACGTCGGCGTCTGAAGATCTTCCTAGTATGAAATCGAGTTATGAACAAAGTCCAGCCTACATTGCGTATGAGTAATCTTATTATTGGTCGTACGCTAGTTGTCTATCACTCATAGTCCAAATGACTCGAGAATTCCCCCATATCAGGTACCATATATTGGCTATGGTAATTGTCACTATCGAAGCTTCCCACGAACCAAGTCGCTTATCGCTGGGACATATTCAAAAGAAACTCTCGGCGCGATAAGGAGAATTCGCAGAGACTTCGGGGCTATAAAAGCGATTCCAGTGCCGAAAAGTGGGCAAAGCGCTTACGAAAGTTGAAGACAACGCAGCAATTAAAACAAAATATTTATAAAATTTATCTTGCAACATGAAGTGGCTAGTACTGATTAGTGTTCTGGTGTTCCTGTCGCAGTGTTCGGGGAAGAACATTAAAATAACCCGCCGTCCGCAGTTAAATCATCATTTGGGATATGTCAAGCCAGAGACTCGGGTTATTGGTGGCGTCGATTCCCCCTCTGGCTTTGCACCCTACCAAGTGTCCATCATGAACACCTTTGGCGAGCATGTCTGTGGTGGCAGTATCATCGCACCAAGTTGGATCCTCACAGCAGCCCATTGCATGGAGTGGCCCATTAAGTATCTAAAGATCGTTACTGGAACGTTGGACTATACAAAACCGGGAGCAGAGTATTTGGTTGATGGATCCAAGATTCATTGCAGTCACGACAAACCAGCCTATCACAATGACATCGCATTGATCCACACGGCCACGCCTATTGTTTATGATGCACTGACTCAACCGATTAAATTGGCACGCAAGGGTAGTCTGCCCAAGGTGGGAGATAAACTAACCCTGACCGGTTGGGGCAGTACGAAGACCTGGGGAAGATATTCCACCCAGCTGCAGAAGATCGATCTTAGTTACATTGAACACTCAAACTGCGAGACCCGAGTGCGAAATGCCAATTGGTTAAGCGAAGGACATCTGTGCACCTTTACCCAGGAGGGCGAAGGATCCTGCCATGGCGATTCCGGTGGTCCTTTAGTGGATGCCAACCAAACCCTTGTCGGTGTGGTCAACTGGGGCGAGGCGTGTGCCATTGGCTATCCGGATGTCTTTGGTTCAGTGGCCTACTACCACGATTGGATCGAGCAGATGATGACCGATGCGGGAACCGCCTGTTAAAGGCCTAAAAGTCACCCAATGGGGGTCATAAAGCCAAAATACGAACAAAAAATTGCACCTGCCATTTAATGGCTTCTGGCAATTCGAACAAATTAGCCCGTAAATTTTATCACTCAGATATCTTTGATATCATAAAATATTTATGAACAAATAAATGAGCAATTGCGCTTCAGTTTTAAGTTAACTTTCTTTTATGTCATCGTTTTTACTTTGATGTTCGGTCTATTTTTACTCTTCAAATGGTTTATAATCTTAAAGACTCTTTAGAAGAAATCCCCCACTTCAAGCTGCCCAGATAGTCATGTCAGCAATTTAAACGATCAATCATGATATTCAGTTCGAAGAACTGAGTCAACAAACAAACGAGCGCCAGTTAGGAAGAAGTGGGATATCAGGAAGTATTAGTTATCACTTTGGCAGTTACTTAATACAGAGATAAGAATTAGTGTTAGTTACAGAAATAAATATGGCTTAACTAAGCAGTTTTCCAGAAGTTTTCTTATGATAATATTGTTAAAGAAAACAGTGACAGTGTTATTTCCCTTTTGAAAAGATCTTAAAATTTATTTGACAAACTTTTTAAAACTCTCTACCTACTTGTGTTAAACACTCTTGTCAACCTATTTTAATTTCCTGTTATTTAAATTCAAGTTCATTTGACGGCTAAATTTACTTATCAGCCTAACCTTGTTTGGGCCAAGTGCCTTTTTAATTTTGAGGGTTCTTCAGCAACTCAGCTGGACACTTTTCAGCCAGGGAACGTGACTGAATTGCTAAATGTTAATCAAAATCTACCTATAAGAAACATGGCCAGAAATTCAGTTCAGTCAAACAAAAGTGAAGCAGTCATTATGTTGCACATCGTATTACCAGTGTTTCTGTTCTGCTCTTTTGCCTCCAGTCAGATTCTATATCCTCCTCAGTATACCAATAATCGCATAGTGGGCGGTGAAGAGGCTGCTGAGGGTGTGGCACCATATCAGATTTCCCTACAAGGAGTAGGAAATGGAGCACATTCCTGCGGCGGTGCTATTATTGATGAACGGTGGATTATAACGGCTGCTCACTGTACAAGAGGAAGGCAGGCGGCGGCTTTTCGTGTCCTCACAGGCACACAGGATCTGCATAATAATGGTTCCAAGTATTATTATCCTGACAGGATTGTGGAGCATAGCAATTACGCGCCTCGCAAGTATCGAAATGATATAGCTTTGCTGCATCTGAACGAGTCGATTGTTTTTGATAATGCCACTCAGCCGGTGGAACTGGATCATGAGGCTCTGGTTCCTGGATCTCGACTTCTTTTGACCGGCTGGGGAACGTTGTCCCTGGGCGGAGATGTCCCTGCTCGTCTGCAGAGTTTAGAGGTCAACTATGTTCCCTTCGAACAGTGCCGGGCAGCCCATGATAATAGCACTCGGGTGGATATTGGTCATGTTTGCACCTTCAACGACAAGGGTCGTGGAGCCTGCCACGGGGATTCCGGAGGCCCTTTGGTACACAATGGCAAATTGGTGGCTTTGGTTAACTGGGGGCTACCCTGCGCTAAGGGTTATCCAGGTAAGGGTTACCTTAATAACTTAATACTAAAACTAACTAAGTATCCTTTCCAGATGCCCACGCTTCTATTTCTTACTATCATGATTTCATACGAACTCATCTTAGTCTCTCAAAAACTGACAGCACCGATGATAATGAGGAAGAGATGATTATCAACAAGAATTAATGTCTAGAAAGTATGGTTAACAATCTGTAAAATATGATTGAAAACTTTGTCTAAGAAGTCCTTTCTATCAGTAATCCAACTACCTTACTGATCAGAACAAGCTGGAAATTTAGTGTAACAACGTTAGTTTTTTAACAAAATTTTGTAAATGTATTTTTAAAACTAAAATAGAAAATAAATTGGCAACCTGGAGAAAAAGGCGAATTAACCAAATGATTTCCATCCTTCGATAGTATTTTTGAACAACACAACAAGACAAGATGGAGTTCCTAAGAAAAGGAAAGTGCCTTTTTAAGTTGGCGAAGAATACGGCTAAGCTGCAGACTCGAAATACACTCTTCAAAATAATGCTAACCTCAAGCTGTAGCTTACGCTCCTATAGCACCACTGATGAAAACTCTGATCAGCCAAACCTATTGAAGTACCATGTTTTACCCCTAGAGGAAACGCTTAAATCGTTTTATGACCACTGTAGAACCATTGCTGACACCCGATGAGCTGAAAGAACAAGAGGATATCACTTCTAAATTCCTAAAGAAAGAAGGTGCGGAATTACAAAAGATCTTGGAAGAAGTCGGTAGTCAGGAAAAGAATTGGTTAGCCCATCGCTGGCTAAAGGTTGGCTACTTAAAGTTTCGGTCGCCAGTCACTGCCTTTGTAAGTCCAGGGATGACTTTTCCCAAACAAAGCTTTGAAAATCCAAACCAATTTGTGGACTATACGTCCAGAGTTATCTTTGGATTGGGTGAGTTTAATGACTTGGTTCATGCCAAAAAGATTCCGATTGTTAAAATGGGAAAGAACGAGTTGGACAACAGCCAGTTTGGCAAAGTATTCGGAACATGTCGAATACCCAAGAAGGACCACCGACGAGATCATCTATAATCCCTGTTCCGATTATGTGGTGATAATCTACAGGAATCATTTTTACAAATTGAAAATATATAATGAAGAGGGAAAACTGATTAATGCTCCATGTTTGGCTGCTCAACTCGAAGAGATCATGACGAAGGAGAAGAAAATGGGAGTTCCCTATGGTATCATGACCACCGACTCGAGAGACAACTGGGCGGAGGCCTATGGCCATTTATCGAAGAGAGCTCGTAACAAGGATGCCCTTAAGACCATTCAGAAATCTCTATTCACTGTCTCTCTGGACTGTTGTACTACTCCAAAAGAAGGTCAGGATGCCGAAGAGTTGATTCTCTCACTGATCCATGGAAATGGCAGCAATTCCAACAGTGGTAACCGCTGGATGGATAAGACGATTCAACTGGTTGTTAACCCCAACGGCAATGTGGGATTCACCTACGAGCACTCGCCAGCTGAGGGCCAACCCATTGCAATGATGATGGACTATGTGGTGAAGAAGCTGAAAGATGATCCTAGCTACGGGGAGACCGGAGAAGACGACTTTACTCCGGCAGAGAAAATACAATTTTGTCCACTTAGTCCTTGCGAAGAGCAATGGTTGATTATCGCCCAGAGGAACATTGATAAACTGGTAAAGCAGCTTCAAATGAAGGTTCTCAAGTTCGACGGCTATGGAAAGGATTTTATCAAGAAACAAAAGCTTGGCCCCGATAGTTTCATACAGATTGCCTTGCAATTGGCCTTCTTTAAATTGCATAATGAGCCAGCTGCTCAGTATGAGTCCGCCCATTTGCGGATCTTTGATGGCGGTCGAACTGAAACTATACGTTCCTGTTCCAATCAATCTTTGGCCTTCTGTCTTGCCATGCAAGATCCGAGTTCCTCAGTTCAAGATCAGGCTAATAAGCTGCGTGAGGCTGTAATCTGCCATCAGATGTATGCCAAGCTAGCACTTCAAGGAAGGGGAGTTGATCGTCATCTGTTTGGACTGCAGCTAATGGCTAAGGAAAACGGCTTGCCCATTCCGGAGTTCTTTGATTCGCCAGGATATGTGAAGTCGTCTCATTTCCGGGTGTCAACCTCTCAGGTGGCCACGAAATATGATGCTTTTATGGGCTATGGACCGTCGACTGACGATGGATATGCCTGCTGCTATAATCCACGTGATTGTGACATCATTTTAGCAATTTCTGCTTGGCGCCACTGCCAAGCAACAGATCATCTGAAGTTCGCCAAGGCACTTGTTCAGTCCTTTTCTCAAATGAAGGTTGTTCTAGAAAAATGCCCAATGACAGGGAAGCCGCCAGAGCCTAAGTGCAATATTTGAAAATCTTTATTATTAATATATGGTAAATTTGTATATATTTTGTATATATATTTGCTGATATGAAATCAATAAAAAGAATAAAAAAAACAGGAACTTTTAAGATTTACACTGTAAATATGCAGTCATCCGTGTTAGGGCGCCATCTGTCGGTAAAATATTACTTTAAGGTGGATTTATCAACCATTTGAAAAATTGAGCAACTTTTCTTGTATTTACATTCTTACTGATCAACTGATTAAAATAGCAATTAGAAAAGTTATCCACACAAAAGTATCTTTTTTTTTTTTAAATTGTATTTTAATACGGAGTTTGGTAACAAACAAGAATCACTTAAATCTAAGAGGTATTGATGACAGCTAACTAGATCTGGATGTGGCAAGCAATGAAGAATACTTAAAACTGGTTCGCGGGCAGATAATGGTTGCCGATGGGACCTACGCCAGAATTTCCAGCGCCGTTCTCCACAAAGTGTCCTTCGGACTGCTGCTGCTGCTGCTGCTGCTCCTCCTCTTCCTCTGGGGGATCCAAAGAACCAACCACAGAGGTAATGGGGGCCACACCCTCGTCGGTAATGGTGGAACTGCCTCCCAAGGTATCGTATTGCGACTGAATCTGGCGCTGGGCATTGAGTGCCTCTTCGGGAGTTCGGTACTTGATGAAGAACACCTCTGGCTTGTTGATGTGCTGAGGGGTTTCGGCAATAGCATCCTGGAGATCGGCGGCAGTAGTCTTCTTGGCCAGCACATAGACCACAGTCTTCTCCTGCTTGAGAGTCTTGGCCAAGTTTAGAGCGGCGGCGCGGTTAGTCTGAGACGGAGTCTTGACAAACAGGACATTGTAGTGGTTGCGTGGCTGTTGGGCCAACTGGTTCAGTTCGTCCTGGACCTCATCCTCGGATTCCTCAGGTGCAGAGTGGATGAAGAAGTTCTTGGTCACAATAGGACGCTTGGGAATCCTCACACGCGGACGAGCACGTCGCTGCTGCTGGATGGGAGCGGTCTGGAAGTTGATTGGAAAGCCGGTGGGCATGGGAAAAGATCCGGTGGTGGGACGAACTGCAGGTTGGGAATGAAACTGGCCACCGCCAGGTGGCAGATAGGGCAGTGGTAGGGGAGGTAACACTGGGTGGGAGGATTGCTGGGGCTGGAGCTGCTGCTGGAGCTGTTGGTTGAGCAGATGGGCCACTACAGGGGGCTGCTGTTGCTGCTGGATGCGATAGTTGTAACCCGCCTGGGTCAAACTTATGTCAGCGTGGCTGAGGCCAAGGCACATGGCCCCCATCAGAACCGTCTGAAAAGGAAGTACTGTGATTATAATCCGTTTTTGTGCTAGGGTAATCCAAGGTTGAACACACCACAAATATCTTCATGCTGTTGCTTGGGTGGTTGTCTCTCTGCTGGTTAGCTGTCTTTAGCCGGATGCTCCCTCGCTGGCCGAGTTTCTTATTGCTGTGATGATGGGTCAACCGGGCACCGTGGCTTTTATACCAATCCTCAGTCACAACTTGTTTATAATCGGAAACAAATCGTGAAACAGCAGCCAACACACAGTTGCAACAGTCGGTGGGGTCATAAAACATTTGTTATGCATGGCGAAGAGGTTGTTTGGATTCATCTGGCTGGGTGGCAAGTGGGCTTTTGTATTAACTTTACAAGGGGTTCCACGAAAGTCGAGCGAGTGGAAATCTTAACAATGGGTGATATACATAGGGGAACACAAATCTGCAATCTTTGTAAACAAGTCAGGGAAGTTGTAATCAAGATATTTTGAACATTCTCCTTACGATATTTTTGATTTATTTTCTATTTTAGATTTCAAATTTTCTATTTAGATTCAGATCCTAATAAGTATAACAAAATTGATATACCTTTGAACTGTTGATCTTGAGACATCAATGTTGGGGACACTTATTTTTGGTAAAAAATTTGTCTACTTAATTAACTATCAACCACTTAATGTTTATATTTCTCAGACTTTGCCAATTTTTAGTAAGCAATAAGATATCTTAGAGACTTTGGTGCGAACTTAACCATAAAAGCCTCGTTTAAATTAATATAAAAGTATTGTCTTGGCAATTTTTGCAGATCAGTTGAATGCCACCGATCGATATGTAAATATTGATGACGAAGATAGGCGACGAGGTTACAAACCTGACTTAAAATGCACTTTTGTCTGTAGGACCATTGTCTCTAGTTTGTTTTATTGTTCGAAACTTGAGCTATCAAATGGAAATTGAATTGAAAACTATATATTTTTGGGGACTTCAGTATATTCGCATCTGTTTTAGTCAGGCCCAAGGTCTAGGTCTTTGTATCCATTCCAAGGGGCGTAAATATATTGGGCGATATGTTGTCAGCTCTAAATGTGCCAAATTGAGACAAAATGCTCGTATATTTGGACTTGGAATTGGTATCGGTTTTCGAACTAAAGAAGTGAAGGTAAATCACCCGATAAAATCGAAAGTGTAGCTTGTCATCTTGGATATGCCCAGCTTCCAGCGGAAATTGAATGTCATAAAAAATACAAAACAGATGCATACGGAATAAGTTTAGATATAGGCCTTATAGGGCTAATTGGCAGCCTTTTTAATATAAAGTGAATGTAAGTATGCTGTAATAGAGATAGGAAGGCTCACAATTTCCTTTCCAAATTTGATGTATTCATTCACCCACTTAATATATGTATTGCAATATCTTGCGCATTCAAGTGAGTGCATCTCATTAGCCGGGGGGAAATTTTGCCCACAAATCAAAATAAACAAGCCAAGGGCAACCCAACCGTCAGATGATAAGTTAACACACATTTCTAACGGCTGTTATCTGGTGGAAACCTAAAACAGGTTTCATACTTTCTCACGCCAATTTCGTGAGCCGTGAAAAAGAGCAGCGAAATGAAACAAAAATTTGTTTATTTTTCGGTTTGAATATTTTGTTTATGTGGGAAGAGGGCATCAGAGATGCAAAGATCTGTCAAAGAAATATACGATAAATTTCCGTTTGTAATGGGAAACTAAAATTACTTTGTCATTAATTAATAGACCCAAATGCATTAGGAGAAAAGTGGCAAGAAAAAAACACACACAAATGGAAATGTAATCCGAGCAAAAGCGAAGCCCTGTGATTAATGGGTGCCAACTATGTATTGCCGCACTTTGCATATTTTATGCAAAGCGAATAAGTTGCTAAAATCTATTGAATGCAAAACACTCGGTGCACAGATTAGCCAAAAAAGCATAAAAGTGAATGTTGACGGGACACAAATTATGATTTGCGTAACAAAACTATTTTATTTTAATTTATTAATTCACACCATGAGAGATTTGGACATAGGCGGCCTTTGTCTATTTCTATATGCATAGCATTAGCAACCGAATCCGATCCCAAACTCTGTCCGCCTGCAAATCCGTCACATCGAATTGATTGGGCGATAAATGTGCCCCTGCGAGGCCTAACATCTACTAATAATAAATGCATTTTTAATTATTGGCCTAAAAATGATTCAAAATTAATTATAGGACACATCGAGTTCACAACATTTTTCGGGATGCCCACGAATATGAAGACAAAACTATGATTTCCATAATAAGCATGTGGAACGAATCGTCTGTTGTCTTTCCTGCGCGTAAGCTGACAGTTTTACATGGGCTCTGGCACAAATATTGACAAATGATTTAGGATCAATATCCGAAACAACTTAAGTGGTTGTTTTTTAAGCTTTGATATCAAACCAAAATTAATAAATAACGATGGAAACAGAGAAGGAAGTAGTTTGAAGTACGAGTTTTTCGTTTTCTAAGACTAACGTTAATGCTTTACAAAAAATGTTCCAAGATAAGAAAGTCTTCTATGACAGGATGAAGATTATGTTATTCCTTTGATATATATATATATAATAACCACTATAGAAAAGAAGTCATTCCTGAATATTTGGAACTTCCACCCAATATAATACGCTTAAGTCCGATATCTTGTCCTCAAGTTAAGCCAGAAGTTTCTTCAGCTTACTTGAGAACAAGCTATCGATCCTTAACCATTTTATTGACAGTAAACTGTAAACTATTCAATTTATTGATTAGATTGCGTTTTACTCAAAATTCAGTAGATAATTATTCGATCCGGCTTATGCAACACGTGTGCTATACGAACTCAATCCATCGGTGTCACAGAAATGGTTGTTAAAATACTTGCTACTCACATACATGTAGTAGATATAGGTCTAAAAAGCGTGGTAGTAATAAGAAGTTAAGGGACAAATGCTGTCGAACAGATTGAGTGACTTTGGCCCTCTCACAAATTGCAATTCACATTCAGTTATCGAGTTCGATTTTAGTGTTTCAACAAGTGTTCAATTAGTTATTCTAGTTGTATGTATATATATATATATATTTATATAGTATATATTTAGTATATGTTTCAGGCGTAATTGTATGTATGTAGATAATGTGTAAACTGTATTGGCGTTACAATGAGTTCCTCTCTTTAGGAGCTAATAATCAAACAGATGAGCAGAATTTAAGTACAAAGATCCGCCCATTTTGTAAGTTCTCTAAAATATTAATGTTTTCGATACACACTCTATATATATATGTAGTTTTTAATATCACGTTCATCGTTTACACTTTTTGCTTGTTCTGTTACAATGTTTTGTTCTGATTCTGCTTCTGAATATTACTTCTGATCTTGATTGGAGTTTTAAACTACGTTAAGCCGATTTAACAATAGATATAGATATCTGTAAATATGTATTTAATATATAGAGCGGGACAAATTAACCGACACTGGTGAAATTTTGAAAATTTCGAAAAGGGATAATCATCTTAGATTGAAACGCCTTTAATTTAGACATAAGACATAGACATTAAACACGCTTCTGGCTTCGATTTAGCGTCCAGTTTCAGCTAAAATACCACCTTAGGGTTCGTGGTTTCGGACGAACTTTTCAAGCTGCCTGTGCAGCTGATTGTGGTAAGGTATCCGGTGTTTGCTTATTGCCGTCGCCGCCAAACACTGCAGCGTAACAAAGTTGAGCAGCGGAATGGTGCTGGTGGGATTTGAGGCTATTAAGTCGTAGGGCCGCTTGTCGGCGCGATTCGGCTGATCGATGTCCGCTCCGCACTTGAGCAACAGGTGAACAATCTTTGGAAAAATGGTTTTGTTATAGAGTTTATACATTTGTTAACAACTTAAATGTTTTTTTCGCACGACAAATACCGACAAAAACAATGTATGTAAACTATTTGCTGACTTTTAAATTTAGGAAATAGTAGATTAACAAAAATTCTTATAAGAGTTTTAGTTGCCCTACTTAATGACTTACCTCATTGTCATAGTTGTAGGGCTGGCAGGCTACGTGCAGTGGCGTAGATTTGGCTTCGTTCTTGATGTTGACATCGACACCGCACTGGATGAGGAGCTTGATGACATCCGCATTGGGGAACACAGTCTTCTAATAATGATAAATATAGTATTTAAAAAAAAATTTAAAATGGCAAATAGTGCTACGTACATTGGCAAAGTTGTCATCAGTGATGTAACCGCTCTTAATGACGTTCAGACGCGAGGCGCAGAGATGGAGCATTGTATCGGCAGTGCTGGCACTACGAAGATTCCCCACCACCACCGTCTCGTGTACCGCCTGGCAGATGAGTTTATTCTGTGCCTCTGTATGGACGGTATTGATCAGCAGATAGATGAGGTGAGCTAAGCACCTCATCACCCTGTCGTAGTTCTCCTGTTGCCTCCTGAACACTGGTCTCAAGAGTAGCAGGTGCTTCACCACAATGGCGCTTTCCGCCAGCGTTCGAAATACACCGAGCACATCCTCAAATCTGGGCAACACTTTATCCTGATGCACAAATCTGGCTCTGGCATCGCTCCTTATATGACTCGAGTTCTGGACCTGCAAGTCCAACATCAAACGTACCAGCGCTTGCGCCGCGAAACAAGTCTCAAAGTGCAGGATGGACCAGTTGGACACACGCACTTCCAGCAGGAACCGCCACAGATCAATGCAGCGCTGAAGCTGAAGTGAATCCGCATATGATGCGCCCCTAAAAGAGACAAGCCAATATGATTCAAAGGGCAAATATTATAAACTAAACAACTCACCTGAAAGTTAAACGAAATAGCATGTCCTTGTGGGTCAGTCCAAGAACCCGCTCACAGATGAGCAGGCTCTGCGTTCTCATTGCATCCATATCCGTGGCAATGTTGTCCAGCTCCTCCAGCGTGCTAAACTCCACTGCGTTCTCGTAGGCAGTGCGCAGAGGAACCTGCGGTTTCTTTTCTATGTACGGCGTATATGCTGCCCGAATGTGATGCGCTATGCGCCAATGCAATATGCACACCCGTGACTCATTGTGCTCGTCCAGGAACGTCGATCCCATTAACTCGTGGGCCTCCGCCAACCGTGCAGGCAAATAAGTCAGCTCCTTCTTTAAGAAGTCGAAGATATGATGAGCTCCCTTCAAGCAGGCGGTGCGAAGGGCATCGTCTCCATATCGACTCTTTGCAAACGGGTCTGCGCCCTGTTCTATCAACATCTTTGTTGTGTCCAGTCTGTGCTCCTGGATAGCATAGTGGAGCGCTGTCTTATCCTGAATATCTCTGGCATTAATGTCCGCTCCTTTCCGCACCAGATATAAGCACAACTGCACCGATTGCACTGAGTTGATCAGACAGGTGCCACCATTAATGTTCGGCCGCTTGATGTCCGCTCCATTCTCGACAAGAAATTTGACTGTGGGGTTGAATGAGGATTTCAGAAATTAGTTAAGGCATTATTTCCACATTTTAAACTTAACTTAATCCCTGCTAAAAGAGAATATCAAAAGTAGTAAAGTATACCTATTTAACCACTAAATAGAATAGATATATCTGACTTTGCCAAATCTAGCACGAGTAGCTTTCACTGACCTGATTTAATTAGGTATCTTAGTGGTAAGCAAAACGCTAATATTATTCGATCCCCTTTTGCTTATTAACAAAACTAGTCAAACAAAGGGCAAGACTTGATTATGTAAAATTTAGACCACGAAGAGTGCTAGTTTAATACCACATCTTAACGATGTATTTTACATTAAATTTTAATTTTGTTAAGAGTGAAAATACGTTTTAATAGTGGGATCAGCCACCTGTTTTTAATGCTCCTATTGGGGTGTACTTATTGCTGCAGATTGTTCCAAAGTAGGTATGTGATTATAAAATCAGAAAGTTTGAATTAAATAGACAATGTGCGTGTGAAGAAATTAATTGGAAATAAGGCGGAATGAGAAATTACACTGAAAACCCTAATCTACTAGTATAGTTAAGTATTGGCGTTTTAGAAAGTTGTAGTATTTAGTTTATACATTGAGTTGCATAAAATTCTCACCGATATCAACGTGTGTCATGTAGCAGGCACTCCTCACGGGTGTAGATCCCGAATCGGAGGTGGCATTTATGTCGCAACCGATCCGCACCAGGTACTTAACCATGGACAGTTTCCCAGAGACGACGGCTGCCCAAAGTGGAGATACATAGTGAAAGCTATTATCCTCCGGCACCTCAAAGTGACCCATTTGCTCGATGTCCGCCTCGCAGATTGTGATCAGATACTCGGCGATGTCCACGGCGCCTCGTTTGCAGGCAATGAAGAGAGGAGCGCAGCCATTTCGCTGCTTTCGTACCAACTCGCGACGTGATTCGCGGGGTAGCCTAAAAACATATCAAGATTGTACTATTAATATTTATAAAATCAAGAATTATTTGCAGTGCAAGGTTAAGGGTAAAAAATCGGAAGCACGTGCAGGGGCAATGATTTGGTGGGCACATTGATAAGATGGCCGTTTAACGACGCGACGTCATTTCATCGGGAACTTTTAGCAGAGAATTGCTGATAAGGTTTGTTCCAAGAATGATTAGGTAGGAAAAAGAAAAAAATCATGTTTTTAACTCTCTGTAATCCTTTTGGTGTAACTATAAGATTATCTAATAAACATTTGAAACATTTACTGCCAGTCATTTATCAGATCTCTAAAATATCAATTAAAAGAAAATGTACAGAGTAAAATACTATAATTAAAAATCCATCATGACATCTGTATGCTCGATTCAAGAATCATGTGGCGTCCCTGTATATATCATACTTAATTATTCACCACAGTCAGGCGATTCGATTAGGACAAATTATATTTGGCTGTGTGTATAGCTATTTAGAAGCAATCAAAATAACGCTTCCAAAAATCGTTTGCATACACTGTTATTTTCTACCATTATATTAAAAGTGGAATCATTTTAACTGTAGAACTTATTCTGTGGTCAAAATGGGGACTTCAGCTTTTAAGAAAGTTACGATACAAGAAGTCTAGGAGTGTGATAGAAGGTTGTTAGCTCAAAAATTATTAAACAAATTTAGCCGGATTGTGATATCTTACGTTAGTTTGTGGGTCGGCGAATAATTGGCTTCTATTAAAAGGCTTTAGACATAAAATAAATATAATTATTAGATTCTAATATAATAGTTGATCTAACGGACTTGTAAATAGATTACATAATTAATAAGTTGTATTCCTTTTGTCGATAACTTTTAGAGGATTGGGAATACCCTATTAGGCTTATCAGAGCAGAAAGAAAATTATTTTATAGAACTTTTGTTTGATATTCAATAGTACTTTGAAGTGGGCTTTAAAATGGCCAAACTAGACTATATTTTTAGGACATACTTTTCCAGTTCATGGCGTAGGTGGCGCGACAGCAGTGAATCTTCCTGGCTGCGCTTGCACTCCTCGATCAGTTCGTGACTGAGCTTTGTTAGCTCCACCTTGGGACTGCTCTGCTTGCGTTCGTTGGCCATCGATGGCTGTGGGACAGCCAGCTCCTGCTCCGGGTGAGGATTTCAATCCTGATCCTTGGCTTCCAACTCCAGCTGCAGCTGATCGACTGTCGATGGCTGCATTCAAGTGAGCGCATTGCCAGCGCACCGTCTCATTGCCAATTGAAGGGTGTCTGTCTCTATATCCTTTGCAGTGGGTGTGGACTGTGGGTGGTGGGACTCCCGCCCGGATGTCCTTGGGCCACTGCCCCCTTGCAAAAACGGTGCGGCAGTGACCTACTGAACCTACTAGCCTGGGCTACTTAATTGGGTTCCCTCTCGCTGCTCCCGTTTTTCGCCCAAGGCCGTCCGAACACTTTCTTTTTTCTCTCTCTGTATCTGCTTGGTTGCTTTTCCTCCTTCTCTTCGAATCAATTTCTGTGCAGCGTGCAACTTGGGTGCATAATCTGTTGGGCTCCTTGGGCGATTTTCGCAATTCGAAAATGCAAAATTCAATAACAACAAGAACGAGGGCGGTGTGTGCGTGGCCGTGTGTTGGTGTGTGTCTGGCTCACGACTTACACCATGTTTTTCTGTGTTTTCTGTTTATAAATAAAAAGTCAGCAAAACTCTTAACGTCAAAACAGTGTGTACACAACTGGGGGATGACAATAATTGAAACAGCTGCTGCAACAGACTACTGTTAGTGGCTGTGCTGCCATACTTTGGCAGCTGTTAGACATGGCATTAGTAATCGATTATTTGATTTAACTATCGTGTAAATGATAGGCTATTAAAATCACTACAATCACTATAGTAATATATACAATACTAATATATATATATAATTACTAAATTTTATAATTAATTAAAATCTGTTACTATAATATTACAACTCTTGCGACTCTTGCGATGTTTTTTCTCGTTACTTAATCGATATACGTCCTGAATCGATACTTTCAGAGGTAGCTGCCCTAAACTTATCGATATTTTCAAATTGCTGTAGCAACAACGACGCGCTGTTTAGAGCCATTATTTGTATTTGTGTTTATAAATTGTAAATTAAAATCAAATGGAGTCCCCCGTGGCTAAAAATATTGCAGAGTGCTTGGGTGGTGAAAAATTAGAGTTATTCCGAAAGCTAAATCTCCTCGAACAGCATCGAGTGGAGAGCTTCAAAAGTTGGCCATTCCCAGATACCGCTTCCTGCAGCATTGCCAAGGCAAGACTAAATTATCTATAAAATTGATGATTTTCTTAAATAAGTTTTACTCAACCAGATGGCAGAGGCGGGATTCTATTGGACGGGCAACAAGCGTGAAAATGACACGGCAACTTGCTTTGTTTGTGGGAAAACCCTTGATGGTTGGGAAGCCAAAGATGATCCATGGTGGGAGCACCAAACACATGCACCTCAATGCGAGTTCGCAAAGCTATCGTGTGCGGAAAAGGATTTAACTGTGAGTTTGCAAAGTCTGTGAAACCTAAATAGCATATTGTAACTTGTGTAATCCCCAAAATAGGTCTCGCAATTTCTTGAAATACTTGGACTCGTTGCTAAATGCAGCATGGGGAAGACCTGCAAGGGCTTCAAAACGAGCTTTGTGCGGGAGAACGAGGACCGTCTAAAAGAGTATACGCAAAATCAAAAATAACTAATTTTTAAACTAATAAATTAAATTTTAAATGCTATTTATAAAGAATTTTTAATAAAACGAAATGTTAAAGCCAACACGAATAAGATAAATTGCCTGTAAGTTATTTATTAAATTAAATATTTATGTTATTCAAGGGTAATATCTTAAAAATTGTAAGTATTATGGCGGTAGGCTCTAATCCAAAATCAAATATACGTCAAACGTGTTTTATGGTCATACTATGTGGCCATAACAGCTGATTTAAAACAACAAAAGCAAGATAACAAAAAATCAAAAACAATTTAAACGTCTCCCCGCTTTTTATCAATTTTTAAATTTTTTTACCGGTTAAATAAAGCGCTATGTTAAAGCGTAAACTGAATCAACAAAAAGACAATCTGGAGGATGCGGAACCCAAGAAATCAGTTCCGAACGAGGAAAGTACATCGTATTTCTTCGTCCATCCACTTTGGTTGAAATTTTATAAAACAGAAGTTAAGTTAAACGGCGAGTTGGATAAATTGACACCTCCTCCAAACATTATGTGCGTCTATAACCCGATAGTTTATGCGTCACAACTGCACTGTGATTATATGCGACTGTATCTGGATGGTCCCAAAAAGCTGGTGTTCATTGGGATGAACCCGGGACCCAATGGGATGGCACAAACAGGAGTAAGATCCGTTTAGGTCGAATTATTTTAACTATTTAAAATTTTAAACTTCAGATACCCTTTGGTAATGTGCGAACTGTAAAAGTATTAATGAAACTGGCAGGATCGGTGGATCAACCTCCAGTAATACATCCCAAACGTCCTATCGCAGGCTTGGAATGCAGGATTGAGGAACCCAGTGGTGTTCGTCTATGGGAGTTATTTTTGCGATTAGCAGGAAACATGGAAACCTTCTCCCGGCAGTGCTATGTCCACAATTTCTGTCCTCTGGTTTTTTATGATGAGGCGGGCAAGAACCTTACACCCAGTGAACTGAAAGGACCTTACAAAAGTCAAGTCCGGGATTTGTGTTTGGGTGCTCTTGAGGAGCAACTGATTCTACTTAAACCAGAAGTTATTGTGCCTGTTGGGGAATATGTTCATGCCGCATTGAAACGTTCGCTCTACTGCAAATCGAATTCCGTTTCTGTGCTTCGGCTGCCGCATCCAAGTCCTCGATCTGTTAACAATACCGATTGGCCGAAAAGGCTAAGAGATTCTTAGAAGATAACAATTTAATTCGTTTTATGCAGAATGAGGCTTAAATTTCCAAATGCATTCACTGGGTATTTATGAATGTTACAAACAGTATTTGTATAATTTAAAAATTTAAAGTACTCAAGTCATTTTTTAGTTTAAGAAAGCAAAGTACAAATTTTCTAATTCGTCAATAAGGAGAGAAATTTTTCATTTAAGTTCTTTTAAAAATGTAAAATGTATTAATTTACTTCATTTTTATTATGGCTTATTAAAGACCATATATATATAATTTCCATACATTTTATTTGGATCCTATTAACAAACATAAGAATACCCCGAATATTGGCGAATGTTAATGTTCTCTTGCACTGTAACGTGAAGTCACTGTAAATAGTGACCGCCAGCTGTTCCTTAGTGTTGCAAAACACTGCGATAGTGAGAGCTACCTATTGTTTTTGTTGACCTGGTCATCTCATCTGTGTTGTGTGCGGCTTTTCACCCAGTTCGCCCGAGTTTATTTCCATGCCAAATGGCCGCCTACATGGAGGACGCGTTAGTGGAGGCACGGCGGGCACGTGACGCTGGCGAGGTGCCCGTGGGCTGTGTATTCGTTCATGGGGACAGGGTGGTCGCACGTGGCGGGAACGAGGTGAACGTCCACCGGAACGCGACCCGCCACGCGGAGTTCATTTGCATCGACGCTATCCTGGCAACCTGCCGCGAAAAGCGTCTGCCGGCCCGTCAGCTATTCAGCGAAATTACCGTGGTGGTCACAGTGGAGCCTTGCATCATGTGCTCCGCCGCCCTACATACGTTGGGTGTAAAGGAGATCATTTACGGTTGCGAGAACGACCGGTTTGGAGGAAAGAACAGTGGTGGACGTGGCCGCTGTCGTTGGCCAAAGAATAGAAATCACCGGTGGCGTGCGGGCGGATGAGGCGATGGCGCTTCTGAAGGAGTTTTACAAGGGTGACAATCCGGCGGCACCGCCACAGGCCAAGAAGAAGAAGTAGGATCAGTCGGAGATTATACTACGTTTCGGAAAATATGGTAAGTTATAATTAACAATCTAAATAGAACTAGATAAATTCTACTATTTTCAGAAGCAGAATAAGGGTATGAAGATACCAACTGATCCTCAAGTAAAAACGAAGCTACGAACGAAGTTCTGTGGAACGGAGAACTTTCGAGAAAATGCTTGGTGTATAATTCCTCTTGAGTAGGTAGTAATCAACGGAGGTAAAAAGGCTAGGAAGTTCAGAAACTTACAATTATAACCTTTCGGTTAAAATTTTTTTTACGAAAAAGTACTGGTAAACCAACATTTTTTTTGAAACCAAAATGGAAACTTATACTTTTACCTTAAAAACTGGACACACTTATTAATTTTACAAAAGAGTATTCCGCCAAATGTTTCAAAAACTATAAACTTTCAAGAGTGTAAAGGAGATAAAGAGGTCAAAGGAGAAACAGGAAATTATTCCTTAAAGTAAAAATTAAAATTAAAGTAGTTAACAGAAGAAAAAGAGAAAAGAAAATTTTTTAAAGATCCAATCTGCATCCTTGAAATTATTCCCGAAAGTTAAACAAGTTCCACTGTAACATTCTTCGACAATTTATGTATATGTTTCAATTTATTATAATCTTTAAGCATAGTCTAAGATATATATATATATATATATATGTATATGGCGTTCAGAACGTATGTTTAAACTCTAAACATAAATACAATTACTGCGTAAAAGCTACAACATGTACGTGTTTGTAGTGAAGGCTGTGCCTGTTTCCACTATAGGAAGACTACTCAAAAAAAAACGTTTGTTTCCTTTTAAAACGCGTAAAGTGCAATCTTGCAGTCCGACACCAAGAATCTAGTTAACCATCCAGCAACCAAAACTTTTTGGTTTTGGAGGGTTAAACCCGGGCTTAACCTAATGTAATTTCCCTACGTCCTAAGCTAACTCTTTTGTTCGATCGTTTGCTGTGCCAGCAAAATACCTCGGCTTGATTCAGGAAAATGCTGGCGCAGCAAACAAACAATGGCGGCGACTAAGCGAATCTAGACTAAATCTAATTAAATGCGCATGCTGCGGCGTCTATGGCCAATGTTGAGCCACTCTAGTGGCACATTACCGCCTACATTGTAAGTGGTTGGGGTGCAGTTAAGCAGCTTCCTGGCGGGCTCACATCGGCGGCTCACGTTCCAGTAGGCGAAGCCTTGTGGACAGCGGTGGATCTGTCCCTCAATTCGTCCCGTCACTTCGGAGAATCCGCACTTGACGAACAGCTGGCCGCACTGGTCATCGTTAAGGGCGAAGTGACCCTCATCTGGGCACAGAGGTGCCGTCGTACTGATTTGTACCTGTTAATGGAACATGGTGAGATCATAGTGCACATCATATCTTAAATATATATTTTCTAGCGTTGGATTTGTTTTCAGCTTACCACATTCTGAAGCTTGGTTTCCTGATCGAAAAAGTTGGTGGTCCTCTTCATATTCTTAGAGCATTTGTCACCCTCCTGGGGCTTGCCACAGCTGCATGTCTTGTCCTGGTATACAGTTCCATTAGGGCATTGGAAGACCACAATGTTTAGATCGTTGCTATCAGCACTCTCGCTGCACTGATAGAACATGCCACACTTCTCGGGATGCTGACGGAAGCCAGTGGGACAGACGAACAAATTCTGTCCCGGTCCGGTTGTGGGGCATGGAGCGCTGGTGTTGGCCGAGGGTGTCGGGTTCTCAGTGGTGTTTGGTGGTTCTGTTGTTGGCTGATTGGTTGTGGTATCTCCCCCAATAGTGGTCGTGGTTTCTGGCCTGGCTGATGTAGTAGTAGTTTCAGGGGCTTTAGTCGTAGTAGTAGTTGTGACAGGGATTTCTGTAGTAGTTGTTACTGGGCTAGTGGTTTCGGTGCTTCCAGAAGTAGTTGTTTCAGGGGTTGCCGTTGTTGTGGTGATAGGAGATTGTGTAGTTGTTGTTTCAGGGTATGGTGTAGTAGTGGTATCAGAAGATGATGTAGTAGTGGTTTCAGTGGCTCCCGTTGTTGTGGTGGTTTCAGGGTTTCTGGAAGTGGTTGTTTCAGGGGTTCCTGGACTAGTAGTACTTTCCGTCGTACCCGGCGAGGAAGTCGTCTGTCCAGATGAGCAATTGCCCGATACCTGATCGGCAAAATTGCAAGTTTCGGTGGATGTATCCCAAACAGTTCCATTGCCGCATTTGAAAGCGTAAACCTGGTATTTCCCATTCTGTGCCCCATCTACACAGCGATAGTAGCGATTGCAGTCACTGGGATCGGGGAAGAATCCCTCGGCAGTGCAGTTATAGTTAGGCTGTGGTTCCGGTTGCGTAGTGGTAGATGGACCTTCTGGTGTGGTGGTCTCAGAGTTCTCCGTAGTGGTTGTGGTTTCTGGTTTCAATGAGGTTGTGGGTTCTTGAGTAGTGGTTGTTACAGGTAAATTGGTTGTCGTTATAGGTTCTGTGACTGGTCCAGTAGTTGGCTTATAACCAGGAGTAGTGGTTGTGGTTTCAATTGGAGTAGTTGTGGTTGTTGGTTCATAGCCGGGAATATTTGTAGTGGTAGGTCCCTGTGTAGTTGGTTTTCCGGGATATTCGGTAGTTGTGGGGTTTTCTGTCGGCTTCCCTGTTGGCTTCTCTGTTGGTTTCTCTGTTGGCTTCTCTGTTGGTTTCTCTGTTGGTTTCTCTGTTGGTTTCTCTGTTGGTTTTCCTGTTGGTTTCTCTGTTGAAGGTTCATCGGTTGGTTTTGTGATGGGCTTCGTAACTGTTGTGGGCTCGTCCGTTGGTGATGGAGTGGTACTTCCAGGTTCTTTGGACTCTTCACTTGGAGTTGTAGTCTCCGGATCCTTTGTGGTCGGTGGTTCTGTTGGTAGCTTCGAACACCTCGGGATATTCTGCATGTAATCACAGGTCTGCACATCTTCATTCCATCCTGTGCCCTTGGGACACGTGAAAGTGTACTTTCTGTAGGAGGCTCCAGCGTTGATGCATCGATAGTATTTCCTACAATCTTCGGGATCGGCCATATAACCCTCACCAGTGCATTCAGTGCCAGCTGGTAGGGGTTTCATTGTGGTTGTGGACGGTTTTTGGGTGGTAGTTTCCGAATTCGATGTGATCGTTGTAGTTTCGGTTTCTGAGTTGACAGTTGTGGTAGTACTGGGTGGAGCTTCTGTTGGGGTAGTGGATGGTAGGCCTGTTGTAGTGGGTGGTAAACCAGTTGTAGTAGTTGGAGGCAATCCAGTTGTTGTTGTGGGAGGCAATTCAGTTGTTGTAGTGGGAGGAGATCCAGTTGTCGTAGTGGGAGGTAAGGTGGTTGTTGTAGTAGGGGGTAGATCAGTAGTGGCTGCTTGTGTTGTAGTGGTTAAAGGTGTTGTCGTTGTTCCATTGGTTGATGGCTCGCAAGGAGGTTTTGATGTAGTAGGATCAGTACCAGTGTTGCAGTTGTTGAAATTGTGGTTGCAGGTCTGCAGATCTTGATCCCAAACGGTACCAGCTCCACATTGGAACGGAATTGCAGTGAAGCTTCCTTTGTTATTTTGAACACAGCGATAGAACTTTGAGCAGTTGCTGGGATCAGCCATAAAGCCCTCTGAGGTACACTTTCCATTAGTGTTGGGTGGTTGAGTAGTAGGAGATGATGTTGGAGAGGATGGAGATGTGGAAGAAGAGGTAGAGGAGGGAACGACATCAGTGGTTGTAGATGGGCCTGACGGTCTGGATGTGGATGACTGGTCTGAAGGTCTGGATGTGGATGAAGGACCTGAAGGTCTGGATGTGGATGAAGGACCTGAAGGTCTAGAGGTGGTTGTGGTTGTTGTTGAAGGAGGAGTGGTTGTGGGAGGAGCTACGCCTCCACATTCCTTGACAGCCCAAGCATGGTTACAGGCCTGAAGCTGGGCATCCCAAACAGTGCCAGGTCCACATTTGAAGGCCACCATATTAAAGCCTCCTCTATCATTATCAACGCAACGATAGAACTTGGCACACTCCGTGCGATCGCCAACAAATTGTCCATTAAACTTGCAGGTTTCAGAAGGATTTGGTTTGGAGGTAGTTGAGCTGCTGCTAGATGAGGATGAACTGGAGGAGGATGAAGATGAACCTTGATTGTTGTTGTTGCTTGAAGAGGATGAAGATGATGATGACGAAGAGGTCGATCCATTTCCAGATGTATTGGATCCTGAAGAGGAACCACTATTGGATGAAGAGCCTTGATTTGACGAGCCACTACTAGAAGATGATCCACTGTTTGAGGACGAAGATCCCGTATTAGAGGAGGAGCCAGTGTTCGAGGATGAACCACTGTTTGAAGATGATCCAGTATTGGATCCTGTGCTGGACGATGAACCACTGTTGGAGGAGGAACCGGTGTTTGATGATCCTGAATTGGAGGAAGAACCACTGTTCGATGATGATCCACTGTTCGAAGAAGAACCACTGTTATTTGATGAACTGCTTGAGGAGGAGCTGCTGCTGCTAGTTGAAGATCCGTCTTGATTGACCACTTTCTTACACTTCAAGGGCTTGGTTTGGATCTGATCAGGATGGTTGCAGCTGTTGGCCTCAGGATCCCATAAAGTCTTTGGTGGACAGGTGAATGATACTTTCGTAAATCCACCCTTACCATTATCCACGCAGCGATAGAACTTGGAGCAATTCTCGTTGTCGGCTAGGAAAGTCTCCTCACTCTCACATTTCTCGGCAGGCCTGAATGGTTTCTGTGTGGTGGATGATGAAGATCCTTCAGTCGTTGAGGATGAAGTTTGGTTAGAAGACGACGACTGTTGAGATGATGAGGACTGGTTGGAGGAAGATCCTTGGTTGGAGGAAGATCCTTGGTTAGAAGAGGAACCCTGGTTTGAAGAAGATCCCTGATTAGACGAAGATCCTTGATTGGAAGAAGATCCCTGGTTTGAAGATGATCCTTGGTTGGAAGAAGATCCCTGGTTAGTCGATGATCCTTGGTTTGATGATGATCCTTGGTTAGAAGAAGGAACTCTGATTTGATGAAGAGCCTTGGTTGGATGACGATCCCTGATTGGAAGAGGATCCCTGGTTAGACGAAGATCCTTGGTTAGAAGAAGATCCCTGGTTAGACGATGATCCTTGGTTAGATGAAGATCCCTGACTTGAAGTCCTTGATTAGAACCTGGTTAGATTAAGAAGAGGATCCCTGGTTAGACGAAGATCCTTGGTTAGATGAAGATCCCTGACTTGAAGAAGAACCTTGGTTAGAAGAGGATGACGACCCTTGATTCGATGACGACCCTTGATTGGAAGAACTTCCACTACCATTGGCCATTGCCTTGCACTGCTTTTTTTGCACATCTGTGGGATGGTTGCATCCCTTAGTATCTGGATCCCAAACTGTTCCTGGGGAACAATCAAAAGGAACCTTACTGAAGCCACCATTACCATTTTCTACGCAACGGTAGAATCGGGCGCAATCCTTCTTATCTGCCAAATATGTTTCCGTATCTTGACATTCACCATCGGGATTGGATGGTTTTGGTGTGGTCGATTGAGTGTTCGTACTATTGTTGGACGAATTGTTGCTGGAACTCGAGCTTTGATTATTCGATGAAGATGAACCTTGATTGGATGATTGGTTGTTAGATGAGCCTTGGTTGCTGGATGAACTTTGGTTGCTGGATGAACCTTGGTTGCTAGATGAGCCTTGGTTGCTAGATGAACCTTGGTTGCTGGATGAACTTTGGTTGCTTGAAGAGCCTTGGTTACTAGATGAGCCTTGATTACTGGATGATTGATTGCTAGATGAACTTTGATTGCTTGAAGAGCCTTGGTTACTAGATGAGCCTTGATTGCTGGATGATCCTTGACTACTGGATGAACTTTGGTTGCTAGATGAGCCTTGGTTGCTGGAAGATCCTTGAGTGCTGGATGAACCTTGGTTGCTAGATGAACCTTGGTTGCTGGATGAACTCTGGTTGCTAGATGATTGATTGCTGGAAGAGCCTTGATTGTTGTTGCTGGAGGAGCTTCCACTTGATTGCTGCCCAGAGTTGTTACTGCCACTGGATGAACCCGATTGAATGTTGCACTTCTTCTTTTGATCTTCAGTTGGCAAATCGCACACCTTATCTTCCTGATTCCAAACGGTGCCGGGACCACAGGTGAAAGGCACTTGTTCTAATTTTCCGTTTTTATCTTGGCGACATCTGTAGAACTTAGCACAATCTTCTTTGTCGGGTATGTAGGTATTCTCATCCTCACATTCTGTGGGCACAGGCTTATTGGATCCACTGCTCGTTTGGTTGCCAGAAGAGCTCTGATTGCTGTTAGAGCTGGAGGATTGGCTGTTGTTGGAACTCTGGTTACTGTTAGAGGATTGATTGCTGCTAGAACTTTGACTGTTATTCGAGGATTGGTTGCTGCCAGAGCTTTGGTTACTGCCGGAGCTTTGGTTCTGGTTGTTGCTGGAGTTTTGGTTACTGTTCGAGGATTGGTTGCTTCCAGAGCTTTGGCTGTTGCCCGAGCTTTGGTTGCTGTTACTGCTGGAGGATTGATTGCTGCCGGAATTTTGGGAGCTTGAGCCTTGATTGCTACTGGAGCTCGTGCTGGATTCCTGATTATTACTAGATCCGGAGCTGGACTCTTGATTATTGCTAGATTCCGAGCTGGACTCTTCATTGTTGCTAGATCCAGAGCTGGACTCCTGATTGTTGCTAGAAGTAGAGCTGGACTGCTGATTGGAGCTGGATGTAGAGGACTCCTGCTGACTCGAGCTAGAGCTAGAAGTGGAACTGGACGTAGAACTAGAGCTTTGGGAGGAATTCGATGAACTTGTTGATGAGCTCTGCTGGCTGCTTGAGGTAGAGTTTTGATAACTGGTCTGCGAGGATTGTGTTGACGTTTGGCCGGCGTAATAACCATCGTTCTGTGGAACCGCTTGATTGCGGCATCCTCCGTTGGCACGTACGTCAAACATGTGGTTGCAGGACTGTAGGGATTCATCCCATGCCGTGCCATCGGAACACCGGAAGCCGATTTTGTTATAGCCTCGACCGTTGGAGATGCAGCGATAAAACACGGTGCAGTCGTTGGGATCGTTCAGGAAGCCATCATCCCGGCATATTACCCCCGTACCGTCTTCCGTCTCTTCCGCTGATCCAACAGCTCGCAGGGATGATGAGCTGGAAAAGGATATGACAGAGACACCGCTGAGACCTGCCAGGCCATAATTCGTGGGCAGCCGATGGTTGGACGCATAGGTTCGCAGCTCATTGGCCGCAGGTGTGACGGCCAGGTTAAGCATCGCATTATGGTCATTCTGTCCATAGTCGTCCTGCTCCCACTTCTCCATGCTGCCACCGTCCTCCACCTCGTTCACCTGATCCACACACTCATCCCGTCCAGCCAACGCTGGTGGCATACACATTCGCAGGGAACGCGAGAAGACCATATCTTCGGGACAGCTCAAAATGTAGGGTTGTATGTATTGGTCCGAACGCCGCTCACAGCGGTAATAAATCCAGCAATCATAGTCGTCCGCAAACAGACCTTCTCCTGGACAGTAAAAGGCCACGTCTGTCTGATCCATCGGCGATGGAATATCTGCAATGAAATGCGAAAGAAGATGACTTTATTTTTGGATTATCTTAATTAGGGTTATTAAGAGAGAGATATGGCCTATATGATTTTCATTTTATCAAAATTATATAAAAATAAACAAAGTCCAAATCTATATCATTATTCTTTTGACCACTAAATGGCAGCCAATTTTGCAGATAAAAAATGTATTCCCCAAAGGTTCTCTTATATGGAGAAAGTTTAAAAAAACTTCATTTTAAAGTTAAAAAACTTTATTCTCTTTTACTAAAGTAGTTCCTCCAATAAAAAACTGCACTTTTGGCCCTTTCCCTAATTTGTTTTCAAAAAACCGAAGAGTATCAATCTGCAAATTAGCATAGTTTTTTTTTGAAATGTATATATATGGACAGGCAATTTGAAATCGCCCGCCGGAACAAACCATTGAACTGAAACTTCCTGTCACAAATTCTCTCAACTGCATATATTACAAGCATATAGTACATGAGCATGTCGAATACATCGATCTACATATATTTTGCTCAATTTCGTTTGACATTTTCCGCGCTCGTCTTTCGTTTTTCGTTGCGGGATTTTTCGCGCTGTCAAAATAAAATTGATAATTTATTGTCATTCAATGTGCGAGAGTCCTCTTTTTCAATATTTTTTGTTTTTTTTTTTTTTTGGTTTATTTGGTTGTTTGGGGGCATACGCAGACTTTGCCTTCCAATAAATTTAAATGCATTTATGGCCGTTACAGCGGAACAAATTCATTTTCAAAATGAATTGTGAGTATGTGTTTTTTTTTCGTGTATGTTTTTATCCAGCTTTCCCCATTTTTTGGTGGTCTTTCCTGGTTTTTTTTTCTTTGGTTATTGGTAATAAAGGAGGCTGTGAACATTGTAAATGCGCGGCTAAAAATTAGACCGGGTCTAGGTCTCTGGGCATAAATTCACATCAGTCACTGACTAATATATTTGATTTGGCTTTTTTTTTTGGCCGCCCCTTCCTGTTTTTATTATTATTATCACAGTGTGTAAGCCTTGGCCAATGGTTTATGGTTAGAATGGCCGGAGGCCATATATTTCTTATGAAAATTGCCAAATTTAATGGCCATAAAATTTAATTATGCCAAATGTGGTTAGGCTCTGTCGGGAAGAAAACATTTATTTGGGCAAATGTGTGTTAGATTGATAGAAACTTTCAATGTTAGGCGGGCAGGGATTTTTGCAAAATAAATTAGGAAAGTAACTTCAATTATTGATAGGAAAAATATCTGAATAAAATTTATTAAATTAAAATAAAGTCTCTTTTAAAAAGTAAAGAAAATATTCAATTATAAATAAACCAATTTCCTTTTTTAAAAAGAGGAAAATGTTGAGATACCAAGCAGTTTCGAATCAATTAGTAAAATATCAAAGTAGCATTGCTAAAAATTGTTATTTTTTCATATTAAACTTTTGGTAATGGAAAATACCTCTTTAATACTTTATGACCTCTGGTATTTACACGCCCATTTGCATCGATGGCAAAGCGCTTAAATTTTAAATGTAACCTCTTGCCCGGCCGCAACCGAAAATCCAGTAAACTAATTTAATAGAACGCCTCACAGCACACGGCTTGGCTCGCAGCTCGCAGTTCGCTGTGTGTTGGCAAACAAACATAAAGTTTCAATTTGTACACGAAAGCCCAAAAATGCTAAACCCATTACACAGATGGCGGCGAAGGATGGAGATGTGTGCGGTGGGCTGGGCCAACCGGAGGATCCTAGCTCCGGCGTCGTCCTCCATCCAGCGTTAAGGGAAAATTGACCGTTTTACGATTTTAATTATATATGATGTGTACTTTAGAACTTATGCAAAATGAAACGAAAGGAGAGCGCGGCAATGCGACCGCAAACTTATGCGTTGCTTCCCCACCAAAAACCCAAACCCCTCTCTCTCATATATATAAATACATATATATATATATTTATATAGAAGTATACATGGCATCTGGCAACCGGGAGCAGGCGTAACATGGTTAGCCACAATCTGACCGCAGAGCATGGCCGCAAATAGTTTCGGATATGCCATTGCCATTGCCACCATTCACCACCCACAAGCCAACACACATTAAACCGCCCAAAAACAGGCACCGACAATCACCAAGCCCAGTCTCGCCCATTGCATTAAAATTTCAATTTTCAACATTTAAGCACGTTACGGTTTATGAAAATTTAGTTATAAAAGCATGCATAAGTACACGTGGCTATAAACTGTGTGCAATTTTCCACTTTTCCTTTATTTTTATTCCTTTTTTTTTGGCCCAACATAGGCATAATTTTCGTGGGCCAGCTGGCTTGGCTGGCTGGTTGGCTGGAAAAATGACAAATAGTGATTTCTATTTTTCACTCTATTTTTCCTTGATAATTAAATATTTATTGAGCGGCTGGTTTTGTGCGGTTTTATATTTCCCAAATCTCCCTGTCATTGGGCTTGCTTCGTTGGCTAGCAATGTCTGTTATTTAAATTTTCATTTGATAAATAGAAATCTTCCCAAATGACCAATTGAAGTGTCTAGTTCTCTTTTTTTTAATAGTTTTTTGTTTTGGAGGTTTTCACAAAATGCCAACTTGGGACATTTAAGCGCTTTGGGCTGTTTTCGGTGTGTGTGTTTGTAGTTGGTTGCAAGAAGTCAGGGAAAATGTCCCTTAATTAGTCATTAAAAGTTTCGTCATTATATTCTGTGTTGGATTTTGTTGCCTTGTTTTTTGATATAGCTACCGCAGGGGTTTTGTAATTTTGTAACTTGTCCAGATAGTGAATTAAAGGTGTGAAAAAGGGGAAATTTTTGAAAATATTCATTCTGAAAGCCTTTTAGGGCAATAATGTACAGGTTTTTTCCCTTTCAAGTAGTTTTATTTACAATATTACCCATCAAACTCTTCAAGTTTAACCTTTAATATTCTCTGCTATCTGCATAAAGAGTTGTTTTTCCAGTTTTTCCCTTCTAAACTTTAAGCTTTACCAACTGTTTTTAATGATTTTACTGACTTGATTCCATTACTTGGCTTACAGAGTGCAATACATAAAAAAAGAGAGAGGAATTCAAATGTCATTTAGCAGCTTGACATTAGTCGCCTGTCGCATCCTTTAATATCCTTCATTCCTGGTCTGTTTTTCTCTGTTTTTCATCCGCCTTTATCGCTGTATTGCCATACCACTCCATCTGGAAAACTCCCCCGAGGGACTTGTAGTTGCAAGTTGTAAATATGATATTTGGATTTTTGAGCTTTTGCCCATCGTCGGGTTGGCAACTCGGCGGTAATTTCATTTGCCTCTGGTGGCATTTTGCGCCTGTGCCTTCATGTTGGACAACGAACGAATGGACGTACGTGTTGGCTAGACCGGATAGCCTGGAGAACCGTATTTTCGTTTCAAGTGCATGTTTATGCCACGCCCATTTCATTCGGTACCGCCTGCCACGCTCAAATTTCATGGTGGCAAATGACCAGCTACAGCAAATTCAATTTATTATGCAGCTTGACAGTTTTTAGCCATTCTCTCTCTAAGATGACAGCTGTTTCTACTGCTCTAGCTAATGCACTCGGAAAAATAAATATTCATAAATAATCATAACTATAAAGTGCTACTAACAACTAATGATATATTTCCGCTGAAGTAATAACTGAATAAAAATAATGTCTATAACTTCGTAAAAGAACTTCATACCTGTTCTACCAACTAAGATACTTTTGTTAAGAAAATATAATCATTTGACCTCATTTTTAGTTCAGTAAAACACGAAACATTTCTCTTCGTGCACTAGTGCTTCTTTTCCTGATCCTGTGCTACTGCTTTCTGACAGCTTTAGTAGATGAAAATGAAACAGAAAATAAAAATGAGCGAAGTTCTCGCTAATTCTGGCATCTGTCGGGCTTCATTTTGGAGTCTCCTTTGAATTTTTTTCCTCTTCCAACACCGATTTCGAATGCGATGCGCCAGATGCATTTGAATTTCGCGCTGCGCTGCGCTCGAGCAGATTTTAATATTGGCAAACGTCCTTGAGGGCATCGATTGTGTTCCCTTAGATTTTCGCTTTGGCCAGCAGTTCCAGTCATTACTCATACGCAGCGTGTGACACAATCGCCACTATGCATTATTCATGGCGATGCGGCTACGCTGGATAAACTTGTCGGAAAAGCTGCCGACAGCTGGCAGCAAAATGTTAAATATTTAAATGCCTTTGCCACCCCAAAAAGCCCCATCCTCTGCCTCTGCCCTGAAAACCATCACGCTGGGAATTGCCTTTAACTAGGAGCAATTAATTTGAATTTGAACTATTTAGAGGCACCCGAACTCATGGTAAGAGGAGGCAAGGAGGTAAGGGAGAGTGTCGGATAGGAGGGTTTGGGTAAATGGGTTCCAGAACTTGCCATCCTGCCGGTAAATTAAGCATAAAGCGCTTTTAGTTACAATCACGTTCGTCTCAATTAAACTACATTAAATTCAATTAGCAGGCAACAGGAACACGAAATGAAAGCAACATTGTCATTACGGTTACAGGCAAAAGCATCTAAGGAACACTGAGAAAAGTGTGTCTTTTTGATGGAATTAAGGATAATGTAGAACCTTTTGGATATTGCTGAATGTACATCCAAGCAAATCTGTAATTATCAGTTTTAGGTTATAAGTTTCTTTGATATAATTCCCCTTTGCTTATAATTACTTTAAAATATTTTCCTCTCAGTGCAGCAACGATAAGAGCAGCGTCTTCTGGCCAAGACGAATAGACTCAAGACGCAGGACACCCAAGGAGGTGGGTGGCAAAAATCTAGCGATGGCCTGACTGACAATTGACTTTCATTATTTCTTACATTCCTGGCTGCATTATTGAGGCCTGGTGCTGGGCATATTTGACAGGACGAAGGAGGTCCTTTGTGGAGCTCCTCACTGGCACAGCCAGTGCCTTGGCGTGTTAGTTTCCCAGTGTAATTAAGTTTAATATTTAATTTAATTGCATAAAGATACACGCACACAACTACA